GGGGGTCGAGCCTGGCAAACCCCAGTTTTATTCTGGCTGGCTGCAGCAGAGACAAATAAAGAAAAGTACCTCAGCTGCAACATCCCATCACCATGCGTGTGTGGTGTATGGACCACCGAGTGCCTGTGGACGAGGGAGGAGGTATGCCCAGCTTCGTGTTGCACGCTGCAGTCGCTGCGCAGGGTGAGCGAAATGCGAGAAGGACTGATCACAATAAGAAACGAAACAAGAGGTGTCAGTTTGATGTTCATCATTGCTCCTTCTGCTCTGCTGCAAGACCCAGGTGCGACCTCAGATAAGGTAAGGTATGCATGTATTGCATCGCCAAGTCCCGCCTGCCTCCTGCTGGCTGTTCGATTTGGAATAGCCATTGGGTGCTAGCAACGGATACCGACATGCATGCACGGACACAGCCTGTCTCATCCATGGAGCTTGCTTCTTCCTGTTTCTTCCCGAGCTGGGCTGGACCGGCCTGGGCGACATCGCCAAGCCCAGGCGCGGAGGAGCGCAGAAAGCACATCGCCCGAAGAAACGGGCTGTGCTGTGCCCGAGTCGTGCCAGCCAGCATCCCTCACTGCCGCTGTCCGAAGCAGGCAGCCGTGCTGACGGTCGGGCCCATGTCAGCGGGCAAGACATCCAGGGAGGGCCACCACGACGAGGCATTTGGGGCAGGCATGCCATAGTTTCTGCACATATATGGCACATCCACTATGGTGATTGTCGGAAGCTACCCCATATGCAGAGCTTTACCCGCCGGGCACCGTATCGCACCTGGTCTTGTTGCGTGCTTGCTTGCTCGCAATGCAGCCACCAGGGAGCCGCCCGCCAATCTACTAACCTGGTGGGTAGGTACATGAGAGTGGGTGCAAACACCTCCGGTGCTGATCAGGGATCATGGCGGGTGTCACCGGGACTTTGGGCTCGTTGTGAGCTCTATCTTCTAAGCATCGCCTCTCTAGCCTCGTTATCAATTACGAGCTCGCGATGGATGTCTGTGAGTTGGGATTTCTAGTTGGCGGTCTCTTCCGGCACCCACCGACCCTGAGGGGACCTCACTAGGCCCCTGTCGCCCAGAAGACCCTACAGATACTCCAGGAGTCGATCCCTAGGAATAGCAACGTCCGACTTCCTGTAAGGCTGAGGGTGGCCGTTGGTAGCAAAGCACCTCTCTGCTTACTCCCGCAATGGATGGCAGCCGGGCAATATGCTAATTGCCTTTCTAATGCTACCGAGGCCATCGCAAATTCCGAGCGGTCGAGGTGGGCAATCGGGATCGGGTGGGTTTTGGAGGGTCTGTTAGCGCCTTTGCACCTTGTACGCCCGTAAGCAACGCGAGCCTGGCTTACATCTAATGCATCTCCCCAGAAACAACACATGGACTTCTTCAAGCTTCTGCCGCCGTGACGGTGGCCTGCATTTGCTGCTCGAATCATACCGGCACACACCTACCCATCAGACCGTTACATGATTGACCGTTGGCGAAAAGCTTGGATGGGCCCTGCGGTCGACCTCCTGTTGGAACACGGAAGTCCAAAGATGCAACCCTGGGCCAAATCTCACCCCCAACATTCAGCCAACCGATCCGGGTCCGTATGACGCTTCCCCATCACCCAGACAGACAGGCCAGCCTGATTGGGCCGCAGCGGAGTTCTCTTGCAGCACTCTCTTCTCCTTTGGACCCGGCGCATCAAACGCGTTGGCGCTGTGCGACACGAAGGAACCTCTACATGGATTTCACCCGCATGGATCATGGGATGGGATGCGATGGAGGAAGGGAGCGCCGCGGATGAGGGGGGGAGCATGCTGGTCGACGGATTCGGTGCGACAGGAATGAATGAGATATACGAAGCCTTCTTAGTGGTGTGGCCATCATGTATGCCGGCTGCTTCTTCTGTCCTTCACTTGTCGCTTCCTCCCTCGCACAGTCGGACGTGCGAATGACCCGGACAAGGCTTGAAGGCCTCCGTGTCTCACTTCCCGTCCTTTATGATAGCTGATGTATTCCCGCCGCATTGCTTCCCGGCGCGCATCCGCGTCGAATCAAGGCCGCCCTCGACCCTGCGCTCCACTGCGACTCGACCCTTCCAGTTCCAGCTCGTGCATCTCCACGCCCTCACAAGTACATTCTGCAATATGATATATCAGTCGCACACAACCAGTTGCGTGTGCGACTGTGACAAGGTGGCGACCTGCCCTTATCCAAGCCCCTGGTGCATACAGCAGCCAAGCACCTGTCCATTTGGCCACCGGCTAGAACCACCTCCCCCTCGGACTTGATTGCATGGAGACCTCCCGACTGCTTTCCGAGACCAGCGACATGCTGTTCTTGTGCAACCGACCCAGAAACCCAGTTCGCGGCCTTCCCTCGCGGTGCACAAGCTTTCATCACACCCACAGCAGAAAAGGAATCTTGGGGCGGAGACCGCCGCCCTGTGACCCATGCCATGGTAGACGGGAATTCGACACATAGGAGCTGCCCTGGCCCTTTGCTGTCTACCTACATGCCCCATCCATTGGGTGGCACCTACTATGCAAAGCACGGCGCGCACCAAGGCATGAATACGTTACCTCGCATGTACATGGTCCTGCGCACATCCAGGATCGTGTCCTAAATGGCCAACTTGCACATTGTGAATCTACACAATGCATAGAAGATCCCAGATGGCGATGCAACGCAGGCCCTGGCCTTCCCCGCTCCGCAACTTCCTGCCCGCATCGAGGGGTCGTACAGCACACTACCTGAGCTAATAAGCAAACCCCATTTCCCTCACGCAGCCACCCGGCCCAGCGCGAATTATGTGGTGTGTGGCCCTGGATGACCCGACGAAGCGAGCGAGATGGTGGAAAGTCGAGGAGTGTTCCAGGTGGTGGGGAGCATCGCGATGGTGCGCCAGGCGGGCAAGGTGCCCGTTCCTCGACCACCCTCTCCGTCGGCCGTTCTTAACTGCGATGGCATTATTATGCGGATTTGATTCATCACTGGAACTCACGAATATGTGACTGATATCAGCGACTCCCGTGAAATATGACAGGCTCGGACTTCGCGACTACGTACGTAAGGGAGCAGGGCGACACGGGCGTGCTATTAGACACAACGCCGCCAATAGCGCCTCATTTTTTAGAAACAAAATGCTCCGACAATGTCTCAGCCGATGCCGCCGTAGAGCGACCCCACCCTCAGCTGTGTGGGAAAATGTGACGATTCCTTTGCGAGAAAAAGTACTCGCCGAGTCTGAACACATGCATGCGAGAACAAGATTTCCTCATAAATTTTTTGTTTTCACTTTCCTCTGACTGGCTCTCTTTCTCGCTACCTGCTCGCAAACCTAACCAAGTCTAAGTCCTAGTCTAAAACTTGTTCTCTAGTCTCCTCTCCTCCTTGAGTTTCAAGAGGTGCTCCAAGGCGGTGTCGACGGGGATCAGCTCGCCCTTGGATTGTGTGCTCTGGTCGTCTCTGTTGCGGATGTTGACCGTCTTTGACTCAGCTTCCTCAGCTCCGACGACTATATTGCAATGTTAGCGTTAGACTTTAAGCCACCGTAGTGATTTTATTTTTTTTTGTTTTTGGAATAAAACATCCCAAAGGGGAGGGGGTACTGACCGAAAATAAAGTTGTACTGCTCCAGCTGTCCTGTGCGGATCTTCTTCTGGAAAGTGTTTGCGCTCAGGTCGGCGTCGGCGAACAGTCCCTTCTCTGAGAACTTCTTCGCCACCTCCTGTGCGTAGTCATTTGCTGCTGGCATGACTGGCACAACCAGGACCTGGCGAGGGCTGATCCAGAATGGCCACTTTCCGGCAAAGTGCTCTGTGAGGATTCCAATCATTCGCTCGAAGCTGCCTAGAATAGCACGGTGAACCATGACGGGACGGCCGTAGCCGGTTGGCAGGTCGTCATCATCGGCTGACTTCTCGGCCAGCTTCTCGTCCTTGGAAGCGACGTAGCGAAGCTTGAAGCGCTTGGGCAGGTTGAAATCCAGCTGGATGGTACCGCACTGGAAGTCACGCTTCAGAGCATCATAGACGGTGATGTCGATCTTGGGACCGTAAAAGGCACCGTCACCGGGGTTCTCCTCCCACTTGCTGCCAATCTTCTCGACGAAGGAATCGAGAGCTTGCCTCAGCTTGTCCTCAGCCATGTCCCAGACAGCAATGTCTCCGATGAAGCTCTCTGGGCGGGTAGAGAGCTTCAGCTTGAACTGGAATCCGAAGAGGCCGTACACAGCATACAGGAAGTCGAAGGCGCCTTCGATCTCATCGCGAATCTAAGAGGAAATTAGCTGATGTCGGTGTAATTTGGGGCCAGTCCCAAGAGTCCTGTCTCGCTTACCTGCTCTACGGTACAGAAGATGTGAGCATCATCCTGCTGGAATCTGCGAACTCGAGTAAGTCCAGACAAGGCACCGGAGAACTCATTACGGTGAAGGACACCGAAATCTGCCATCCTCCAGGGGAGGTCTTTGTAGGTAATGTCTGAGTGGGCAAAGATCTTGCAGTGCCCGGGGCAGTTCATGGGCTTCAAGCCGAATTTCTCCTTCTCGACATCGAAAGTGAACATGTTCTCGGCGTAGTGACCCCAGTGTCCAGACGTCTTCCATAGGTCAGACTTGTACATGTTGGGAGACATGACCTCCTGGAACCCTCGCAGGCGGTACTGCTCTTGCATCAAAGTCATGAGAGAGCTGTAGATGCGGGTTCCGTGGGGAAGCCAGAAGGCAGAACCAGGAGACACCTCGTCGAAAAAGAAGAGCTTCTGGTCCTGGCCGATCTTACGGTGGTTTCGCTTAGCAGCCTCGGCGAGGAAGGTCTTGTATTCTTCCAGAGCCTTCTTGTCGGGGAATGAGATGCCAGAAATTCGCTGCACAGACTCGTTCTGGCTGTTTCCAAGCCAGTATGCAGCAGAATTCTTCAATACATGTAAGCTTGACATACTTCTTATCAGAGGAGCTCTTCTCTTACCTTGAGAACCGAGAATGCCTTGATGTTTCCGGTGTGAGGGACGTGGGGACCACGGCAGAGATCGATCAGGGGACCGCATCGATATACTGTACTCTTGGTTCCGTCGGGAACACGCTGGTTGATGAAGTGAAGCTTGTATTTGCTGTACTTGAACATCTCAACAAGCTCTTCCTTGGTCATCTCGAGACGCTCAAATGGCTGCTTCTCCTTGATGATGGAGCTAGAAATGTTCTCCAGTGCTTTCTTATCCTCTTCGGCAACGACCTTGCTGCAAAGAGCGTCAGTACTGATTTATACCAATGACAACTTTCCAAGCACAAAACCTACCCCTCCATGTTGGCCATGTCGTAGTAGAAACCGGGGGGGTCCTCAGTAGGGGGACCATTGCAGAGGTAGCAGCCGAATCGTCTCTCGCAGGCTTCGCCCAGGATGTGTGCCGAAGAGTGCCAGAAAACCTTCTTGCCCTCGATATTCTCGAAGTCGATCAGCTCGAGCTTGCAGCTCTTCTCAAGGGGTCGGGTGAGATCCCAGAGCTCTCCGTCGACCTGGGAGATGACTGTGCGTTCAAGCAGCGACTTCGAGATACCCTTGGCAATCGACGCGGGGGTGGTCTCCCAAGCTACGCCCTTCTCCTCCTTTCCGTTGGGAAGCTGGATGGTGATCTCGTCACGCGGTTTGGCTACCCCTCTGTTAGTCTCCAGGACCGACATAATTTTTTTTTCAACTGCCACAACTCGCCGTCCCCTTGAAGCGTGACGCACCAGCAATTTCGGCATCGTACTTGGCCTTGATCTTGTCGAAGAGGTCGAGTCGGTGCTGGATGTATTCGGGCAGTTCAGGCAGCTAAAACGAGACGTAAAATGTCAGTCAATTGGCGCACAAGGGACATAAAGGTCGTGGCGCTGTTCGGTGTCGTGTTCGGAAGCCCAATCTGGTGATTTCAACGGCGGGGGGGATGCGAACCTCAAGACCGGCCTTCTTGTTGCCCTTGGCGGGCTTCTCCTTGGGCTGCTTGGCTGGGCGCGAAGGCAGCTCCTGGGCGGGGGCGCCCTCGGCAGGCTTTGGGGGCTCGACTTGCTCAGATGCCATTGTGTCTGTTGTTTGCACAATGATGTGACGGGGTCAGGTCAAACGTGGAATCAAAATCCTTATCCGCCGTAGAACGATGGCGGGGCTGGAGGGGCATAAAAAGCGAAGGTGGGGGGCTCCCTTCGCTGCTTCCACTGACTGCGCTGTTGACTGACTCACACCACAGCTCCGACTCCGTTCCCATAATATCGCCGCTCGTACGGTTCCGTGCGCTGATGCTACGTGCTGGGAGATGAAACACATGGCAATTACTCACGTTTTCGCTGCCTCATCCCATCCAGAGAACAAAGGAGTCATTCTGTCTCTCAAATCCCCTATTTTTCCCATGCCAGACGCCAGCTCAATGCCACAAAGTAAACTGCCCAATAAAATCAAACCAGGGTATCTATCACCGCTATTAACCGTCGCCAACCAACGCCGTTTCCCAAGCACGTCGTCCGATACCGCCATTCTTCACAGCCCGTATCTTGTAACACATTCCTCACGATGCGTCTCCAAACAGTCCAGTGCACAAACTCTCGTCCCGCACTTCATGCACCTCACTCTCCCCCAGTACCCGCAGATCTCACAAAACACTCGCTTCGCAGGCTGCCCATCCGCGTCGTACGTGCCTCTAGCCTCCAAGTACATGAGCGGCGGATGGTCCAGCAACTGTCGGAGCTCCGCATCGGATGGAGGTTCGGGTACCCTTGATACGAGGAGGGGGTCGTTGTCACCAGGGAGTGGCGCGGCGGGTGCATCGTTGTCGCCAGAGGCCTCTGGTCCGTGGAACGGCTCCAAGATGGGAGGCAAGCGACTTGAGTCATCCACGTCCAGCATGTGTGAGTCTTCGTCGTTGCCGACATTCTGGCCCTTGCCGGCATTCGCGTTCGTAGCTGGCCGTTTGCTGTTAGCCCCAGCCGCCGCGGGCCCGCCGCCTGCTTCTGACTGCTGTAGCGCTAGAAAATCGTCCAGGTGGTTCGCGAACGTCTTCTGTGACTGTAATATCTTGCGTACGTTCGCCGTGCTTTTCCCCTGGGCTGCCGTCCACTTGTTAGCATGGCAGCTCGGCGAGGGGGACATGAACAGATCGTAGACACTCACCTCTACTTCCAGGTCGCACGGGGACGGGTATCGTGTTGTCCTTGCCCCAGTCCTGGCCCAGAGCCTCCACCTCCTTTCTGATCTTCACTTCTTGGCGCGCGGTCAAGTCCCCAATACTAAGCCCAGGCGCGTTCCTAGCACGTTTGCGATTCGCCGGTTGGAGGGATGAGGACTGAACGCTCGTGTCAGGGACATAGGCCCATCCTGGTGCTGACGTCTTCTTAGCGCTCGCGATTTCGAAGACCCCGAAATTGTTCATGTTGGCTCGGTCCTTCTCCTCTTCCACCTCAACAAGAGAAAAAGAAGAACTAAAATTCTAAGAAAAAGTAGTAAGCGCGGTCTATTGATGACGTCCAAAGCTTCGCCAGTGATTTAAGAGTGCCGGAAAAACTACCCGAGCTTACCTACTCCAACAGCCATCAGAGCTTTCCCCAAATTCGGTCAATCTGACCAATCACAGAACCTGATTTGTTCCCAGATATTCCGAGAAAGCCCACCTACCAACTTCCCATTGCTCCAGAGCATCCCGACGACTACAACGACTCCAGTTTCGCTCGCATTCCTCGATCGACAACTCATCGAACCTCGCCCCTCGACCTCGACACCAACGAACCGGTCCTCCTACCCCCCTTTCACGACAGTCGAACCAGAATATCTTTCACACAACCATGCTAGGCGCCACGAGATCACTCCTGCCGAGCGCTCGCCTCGCCGCGCGCACTTTCCACACCTCGTCACGCCGCATGGCCGACGCTGCACCTCTCCCAGCCAAGAAGCCCTACGGAGCCTTCCGCTCAGGGTGAGGAACCTTCTTTTACAATGTTACGGGGGCTCGTTTCCGTGGACTGACAAATGTGCTCCCAACGCTCAACAGACTCTTCGGCTTCCTCCTCGGCACCGCCCTCACCGGCAGCGCCGTATACACCTACCTCGTCGGCGAGTACAAGACCGCAAACGACCTGCTGACCGAGGACATCTACGTACGTGCGAGCACCCATCTCAACCGATTTCCTTGAGCTCCAGGGCCGGAGCCGCGCTGGATTTCCCAAGCTAGACCGAATCGCGCCGTTCATGCGCCATGCTACGCTCCGAAGAGCTCAGGAACACGCCATACCCCCCCTTCTAGAAGCCTACCACTAACACGTAACATTCGGAAACAGACCCTCCAAGCATCCGTCACCCGCCTCACCAGCTACGTCCAGAACCTCGAGCAAAGGGTACAGGAGAAGAAGAACTAAGATACCAAACTTGCAAGGAAGAAGAAACCCTCGAAAAGGATGTAGCAAGGGGCGCACCAAGGTCGGGTTTGGAATGTCCAACTTTTCATTCATAGCATTTCTCTGTAAAACAGTCGATGGATACGAAGAGGGGATTCAATTCAGAGCATCATGTTCATGTACATCTTCATCACGCGTCTTGTAAATCAACATGTTGTCAAAGATCAAAAAAGCAATCACACGAGACACAAGCACTTAAGGTGGTCAATAGTAGCAATCGCCTAGTTGGGAATTCGAGTATCAAAAAAAAGAAACGTTTTAAGAAATTCCATAAACCGCAAAGAATCTACCGAAGATACCAACCTTCTCGATTCCGTTCATAAAACCGGCGCCCGTTAAAGCTCATCAATATCGCATTGTCACTAATACAGTTTGTTCCAATTTACAGCTCATCGTGCTTAGTCTCCTCAGCCTTCTTGGTCTCCTCAGCCTTGTCGGTGGCGGAGGCGGTGGACTCGGAGGTGGAGGTCTCCTCCTCCTGGGCAACGCTGACGACGGCCTTGTGCTTGCCGTTCTCCTTGATGAACTCAATGAAGTCCTCAACAGTGCGGGCACCCTGGTAGGTGACGGGGGCGTCCTTGCCACCGGCGGGGTAGAGCTTGATGGTGGGGAAGCCCTGGATCTCATCGGGAACGTCGTTCAGGGTAGCATCAACCTTGGCGATGACAACCTTGTCCTTGAACTCGCTCTTGGCGTAGAGGGCACCAAGCTCCTCGTATTTGGGAGCGAGAGCCTTGCAGTGACCGCACCAGGGGGCGTAGAACTCGATCAGGACATCCTTGGTGTCATCAAGGACGATATCGTTGTAGGACTTGGCAACAACGACTGTGACGGGACCCTCCTGGGTCTCGGGGATGGGCTCAGACTTGATGCTGGGCTCGATCTTGCCAGTGGAGAACTCCTCAACGAACTTGGCGATGGAGTCGTGGGTGATCTCAGCCTCCTGGTCGAAGGGGTACTTCTGGTTCTTGGAAACGTCCTGGATAGCGAAAGAAGGGAACTTGTCAGTCTTGAGGTTCAGGTTTCCGGCGTGAGCACCGAAAGCCTTGGCGTCAATGGTGGCGAAGTTGATCTTGCCCTTGAACTTCTCAGCGATAGGGCGAAGGTCCTTGCCGAGAGATGCGCGCTCCTCCTCGGTCTCAGCGAAGATGTAGGCGAGGGGGATACCGGCGGACATGTAGCCGGAGTAGGTCTCAGGACCGACCTCACCAATGAGGGGTGTGGCAGCGGTCTTGGCGAAATCTGTGATGGCCTTCTCGTCGAACTTCTCGGTGAAGGTGTTCTTGCCCTCATCGAACGACTTGTAGAGGACGATGGCGGGGGCCTTGACGCCCTCAGCCTCAGCGACGGCGGCGTCGTTGACGCCACCGAAGAGGTAGGTATCACGGAGGGTCTCAGCGACCTTGCCGAAAGTCTCGTTGCTGGCCTTGTCGTCAGCAGCGATGTAGGCAACAAGAACGACCTTGTCGGCGGTCTTGAAGTCCTCGAGGGTGTCCTTGTTCAGGATGGAGACGGCGGGCAGGGACTGCTTCACCATGTAGGAGGTGATACTACAGAGGTAGAAATTAGCTATTTTGACCCAAATGAACCAGTCGCTCGCACATTCAAAGCACGAGACTCGGGGGATATGGGGGGTTCTTACGCAGCAGCCTTGCGCTGACCACCGTAGGGGCTGATGTTCTCAGGGCCACGGAAGACCTTGAGGGTAGGGTAACCCTCAACACCATACTCCTTGCACAGGTCGGCCTCCTCAGTGCAGTCAACCTTGGCGAGCTTGATGTCCTTCTCCTTGAGGGAGGTAGCAGCCTCCTCGTACTCGGGGGCAAGGGCCTTGCAGTGGCCGCACCAGGGAGCGAAGACTGCAGGGTAACACCAAATCAGCAATTGAACCCAGCACCGCAGGGTATTCAAGGAAAAGTCACTTACACTCAGCAAGGACCAGGTCGTTGGCCTTGACGAAATCGGCGAAGGTGTCCTTGGTCAACTGGGTGACGTCGGAATCGGCCTGGACGTAGGCGGCGAAGGCGGCAACGAGGCCGGCGGCGAGACGCTTCTGCTGCATGGTGGGTATGCTGTAGCTTCTTCAAGAACGATGATTGACAAAAACCCGAAGCCAGCGCGGGAGACAAGCAAGGACAGAGAAGGAGTCGGGTTGAATGGGAAGAGAAGGTTCAGGAACAGATCTCGGCTGGGTCGAGGGCGGTTTTGTAATGTAGCCACCTTTACCACTTGGCCGTTGGTGTAAGCTGGCAACAACTCCAGCAGCACATAATAGCACTGTAGCTCAGGTAAGCAGGGCATCCGCAGCCGGCAAGTGCAGGTGCCCACAGTGGGGAACTCCCAGGCTGCGTGTGGGGGGGCGGCTGAAGAGAACAAGTGTCCCTTTGCGGCCGTTGGCCAGGGCCCAGAGACCCGCCAGGGAGAGAGGGGCTGGAGGGGCCACTGGGCCAGGGAGCTTTCGCAGGCGGTGCGTCGTACCTTAGCCATTTAGCCTCGTTACCACCTAGACACGGCCAACGGGCAGCGCCAATAGTGGGATCCTCCGGTGCTGAATCTATGGCGCATTGTTCTATTTCTGAGCCTTGTCGCTGTCAGGGCGTGGGACTCTACGGGCTAGAGTTGCGTAGGCGCGGCATGGCGTATGCTAATCGCCTATCCTTAAGTTTTTTCGCCGCTGGATCTGCGTGCTTCCTGCTCAGTGTGTTCACCGTCTCTTCGGTCTGCGATTCACTCTCGACCTGACGGCATCCATGCTGAACTAGCCTCTCGGTCTGCCACATTCTCGTCCATGGAGGGGCGGTATGGTATCAGCTTGGCACATGCACAGTATGGCAGACATGACCTGCCCTGGCACGCACGCCCAATAGGTGTGCTTCCCTAGCGTCGCCCTCGGAAGCTCTAAAACACTGAGAACGGCCCGGGGTAACGTGTTGCATATCAAATCTCTCCAAGGCAACGGTGGTGTGGTCATATGGTGAACGAATCTTTGCCAGTACATGGCCTGAGATACCACTCAGACCATCCGGCTGGCTTGGCTGGCCCGTATTGCCGGATTGGTCCTGTGTAGTTGTCCTTTGCCAATGAGATGGATGTAGCAGGAAGTCCCGATTCGCGCAGCCTACATCCTTCCACCCACCGATTCCATGTCAATCAGAATCCTTCGCCTCTCCGTCTCCCAATTGAGACGCCCTCGAGGGTCCGATACGCATGAATGCATCTCCCTGCGTCTCCCTGAATCAACCCACCAATCGTCTTAGTCCCTCACCCGCCCGTTCGTTGAAACACCTTAAACTTGTTGCAGAGATCTGTTCTCTTCCACACGTCCAGATCCCCAGCCTTCCATCCATCAATGACGGCCCCGCGCTCCTCAATGATACTTTCTACAAATGTCCGTAGCTGCAACTCACTACTATGGGTCAATGCACCCCAATGCGGTAGGTAGCGACCCCTGCATGAACCTCCATCAACGCCATGTGAGATTCTTAACACGTATGGAGTTGAGAGCGCTAGTATTGGAAGAGCATTCCTTTCCATGGTGAAACTGAGAACTGCGCCAGGTCTCAGTAACCGCGCAGCCTTTGATATGCAAGTTTTCAACTGAGTGTTTTCATACACAGTAATCACGGTAACGAGTACGTGGCCCACACTTGTAGTATATTTGGACTTGTTGCTAGAATCTCATGCTAGCGATTAGGTGCCCTATGTATCTCAGCCTTGAGGACTCTTATTCATGATACCTAAGGTAAGGAAATCATTTTCCCTTTCCTTTCCTGTGTCAGTGCCTGCTTCTTGTCTTCGACTGCTCAATGTACCCACCTCATCAACAGTGTTTGCTTTGAACTAACCGTAGTACTCGAGCTTTTTAGGATCAAACGTAACTGTTTGTGCAATGGCAAGCACTTTGAAATATGGCCTATCCTCATAAGTAACAGATCATCCCACTTTCTTGCAATCGTACCAACAGCGATAACAACACACGTGTCCGCCCTCAACTGAGGCGAGTGGGCACACAAACCGCCTCTCAATCCCTGTGGATGGGAAATATTCCACCTTGCTGGTTGAGGTAGAGCTGCTAGCCAAGAGGTCTGTGCCTGGTTCTTCCTTGAAAACTCGAATTTTGGTGTCAACTTGAATAACCTGGAGGTATCTCTGTTCCACGATCCAAGCCACTAACGAAGGGATCTGAAAGTACCGGGCTTCGGATAACAGAGCAGCGTACTTTTCAAGGTCGTGCGCCATCGTAGCGGAGTCAAAGAACAGTGGCGGCGTACCGGTTCGAAGATATCGAAGAATCACCTCGAACAAGGTTGGGTCACTGTCAATGAAGTAGCTTCCGTTGGCGTCGGAGTCGTTCAAACGAGTGAGCCGAGCTTGAAAATAGCCACTTTCGCCTGTAAGAGTTCCCTTGGTCGTATGAAACAACCGTTCTCCAACTCTCAGTGTGATGCGGTTGTTTTCCGTGTGAGATGGATCGTCCTCCATTGTTTTTTTGTTGGAAATATAGGTAGCCTACCTACTTGTAGTGCGACTTAGAATTTATTGGAAATTTGAGATGCAACATCGAAAGTCATCTCATATTATCGTATGAGGGGGCTTTGGCGTAAATCCTATGATAGAATACTGGCTGCGTTCTGGTATGTTGCCACCCACATTACAATGGCTGGATTAAAACAATTAGTAAGTTCGACGCTCGTGTTTTGACTTTTGACCTACGCATGCTATATAGGTAGACAAGCGACTGACATAAAGCATAGGACAACAAACATAAGCTCTGTTCACGCAAGTCAGGGACCTTGTTTTCTTATCAATAATATTAAACGCGATCATAAGAAAATTAAGGATTATCTTCCACAGTATTTAGCTCAATATTGTATCTATTACTGGTTAATTGTTATAATATTGTATTGATACTGTATTAAAATTCAATGCTAGCGGTTCCGGGTGCGTCATGTTTGATGTCAGTCGCTTTGCAGGAAATGGATAGCGTTTAAACGAGGAGAGCGGCCACTTTGATGCGCGTAGTGTGAGAGTTGAAAAAAAGAAAGAATCTGGGTAAACCCAAACAGCTGCGAGGAAATTTTGAGCGCTTGTTTGTATAATACTCTAGATATATCTTCGCTTCAAAGTAAGAATGAAACTCTAACTCTACCATCCTTAAGGAACATAACCTAAGGTAGACTAGATCTTCGTCCTCGGCCTGGGCTTGCCAGCAGCCCTGTGGTACTGATTGGGACCCTTGACCTTGACGTTCAAGTCCTCAGCCACCCTCAGCACAAACTGGGGATCTCTGAGGAACTGCCTGGCCACAAGCACAAGGTCCGCCCGGGTGACCTGCCCATTCTCCAGCTCGACGCCAACCCTGCCATCCCCGTTCTGCTGCACAATCTCGCGAGCCACGTCGGCTTCCCGTACCTGACCAACCGCCGCAATCTTGAGATCCAGCCCCTCTGCCCGCACGGCCTCTCGGATCTGGCCCGCGAGGTCGCTTTGGTAGTGCGTGTGGACCTTGATCTTCTGATCGTTGTTGTTGCCGCCACTGCTGACATCCAGGACATCGATGGCCAGCCCGGGGAGGATCTTGGCCAGGCGGATGCTGTCGTCGATATTCCAGGACTCCTTGTCGGCGTACTCCATCCACTCCGTCGCCGAGATGCGGAGCCAGAGAGGCGTGGACTCAGGGATGACGGCACGAACCGCCGCGACGACCTCCCTGAGGAACCGGGTCCGGTTCTCAAAGCTACCGCCGTAGTCATCCGTACGTTTCTATTTCTCATTCGTAAGCGTTCTGGTGATAAGCGGATAATACATAAAAACTTACGTTTGTGAGGCTCGAAAGGAACTGCGTAATCAGATAGCCATGCGCACCATGGATCTCAATAACGTCAAACCCAGCCTCCACAGCCCTCCTCGCAGCATCAGCGAACCCCTGAACCAGCTTCTTGATATCCTCCACCGTCAGCGCCTTCGGGGTCGCATAGTCCCCAGCAAAGGGGATCGCACTCGGCGCCACCACATCGTCAGGCCACCCACCCACAGCCTCCTCAGCCAGGTTCGCCCCCGTCCCATCGATCACCCACCTGGCGAGGGTGCTCGCTTTGCGCCCCGCGTGCGCAAGCTGGATGCCCGCCTTGCCCCCCTGGCTGTGGACGAAGTCGACGATGCGCCTCAGCGGCGCGACCTGGGAGTCCTGCCAGAGCCCCAGGCAGTTGGGGGAGATGCGCCCGCGCGCCTCGACGGCCGTGGCCTCGACGAAGGTCAGCGCGGCGCCGGAGAGGGCGAACTGGCCCAGGTGGACGAGGTGGAAGTCGGTGGCGTGCCCGTCCCGGGCGCTGTAGGTGCACATGGGGGACACGACGAAGCGGTTCTGCAGCGTCACGCCGCGGATCCTGAGCGGCCTGAACAGGGTCGGCGCCGTGGATGCGTCCAGGGCCGTTCCTGCGGGTGGGTTCTGGGCGGGCGTGAAGAAGGGGACGCCCTCCGCGCCGGGGTTGCTCAAATCAGGTGAAGCTCCCATCTTGAATAAGTGAGCCGTGCTGGTAAGTTTCCTCCCAGAGTTTTGGCTCTGTCTCTAGGTTGACGGAAAGAAGTGCGTTCTAGTTGGAGTCGCGAGCTCTTATACGTGAAGCTGACAACTGACAATATCTAACAACAGATGGAAATAACAAAATCTAGAGGTGCAGAAATCAACTCTATATGACGCACGAAAAGAGAGAGAAACCAGTTGCGTGATTGAGCGCAAACTCACAAAATCCCGTAAACGAGGTGGGGGGGTGGTTTATATAGAATAGACAGCAGGTCGCCCTTTGACCCCTTTCTACCTCGGGTCCAGCAGGAAGCCCTCAAGGCCAGCCAACTCTCCAATTTCTCCCTTAGTTGATAGTCGATTACAATTGCGGAGTAGACCAAAATCGACTGAGGATTGATAAGCAGGGCAAAGAGAAGATACGGAATCGCGGAGTATGGTCTCTGAGATCTCTCAATAGCCTCCGATTCCGCTTGAAGATGTGGGGATGGACCCTGATCAATAGGCGGGGAAATGCCCTTCACGGAGACCAAATCCCGATAAGAACCACCCAGCGCCTTACCCAGCGCCTTAATGTATCCTCCAGCAACGATTATAAAGCTTGGTGATTAATAAGAAACCGAAAACTCGCTGGACAAGAGTCGGAGACTGTAGGCCGAAAGATCTCTTCTCATGAATGTAGCCTATTCCACCCACCAGTGTTTACACTGGCGTAATGAGATAAAAGAGCCCGGATCCGAGCTGACATTGTGCCTCATACACCCGATAATTGCGTCATTCTAGTGTGTCTCGAAACATGCAACAAGTCCAAGACGACACTGCACCAATAAATCACCAGACAAATCGCTTGACAAATTCTATCCCAATTGTACATTTGTATTCTAATATGGTCTAAGGTCTCTAATCTAAACCAAAGGACATACTGTTTTCCCATCGCTCCTACTGTCACATTCCCACGCCATATCGTGCGAAGAATAGAGGAGCTCGCAGTTAACCCAACTCTGGGCGTTAATCTGCGACCCAACAGGCCATAGAAAACACTCGCTAGAAACATAAAAGAAAAACCCAGTCTATATCTCCCCCTTCAGCCCATAGTTGGTCTCATTCTCCACTGTGACTTGTGATAAGAAAAGAAATCAGAGCATATCTATTTAGACTCATCCCAGGTGGGCTTGAGGGTCCATCGCTGGTTCTCACTGCCCGAGGCGAAGGGGACACCGAGCTCGAAGAGCTTGAGGACGACGGCGGAGAAGTCGGCGAAGAAGGCGTCGTTGTCCTTGGCGTACTTCTCGGTGAAGGGCCTGAACTTCTTGTCGGTGACGAGGGTCATGTCGGTGGGGAGCATCATGAGTGTCTTGGTGGCCACGTCCTCGTACTGCTTGGGGCCTTCCCACTTTTTCCACTGCCACTTCTCCTCGACCAGGAGGCGGTAGAAGTCGTTGGTCAGGACGGTGGGGGAGAAGGTCCAGGGGCCGTCGAAGCCGGAGCGGTCGCGGTGGCAGCGGCCGAGGGCGTGGGCGCCGGAGAGGGCGACGATCTCCTGGTCGTTGAAGCCCATGCGGTTGAAGATGTTGCGGAGGTGGTCGGAGCCCTGGGTGGCGTCGGGGAGACGGCCATCGGGAGTGCATGCGGCGACGTCACGGTCGGAGCGGCCAGGGCGGTAGGGGATGATGGGGCCCTGCATCTCCTGGATGGCAGCGACACCGCCGAGGATCCAGAGATCAGAGTAAGTGATCCATGGGAACTTGGCTAGGCAAGGAAATACTTGTTAGCTCAGACTGCTTCAGAAATAACCAGCCCCTTTAACCCACTCTCTCTCGAGATCAATCGGTTATTGAGGATAAGGAAGTCAAATACACACCCTTCACAGGCTCGAGAAAGTCACGAGCGGCGATAAGACCAGCATTGGCGCCGTGCTCGGACTCGGGAGCGAAGCGCATGGTGGCGCCGTTGCTTCCACCAGTACCGGTCGCCTTGTCAAAGGTACCGCTAGCGTGCCAGGCGAGACGGAGCAGGACAGGGCCGAAGCTGCCATCGTCGTAGTCGTCCTTCTCCTCGAGGCGGCTGGCGATCTCGTTGTAGACCTTCTGGTAGTCATCCTTGGTGGGGTTCACAATCTTTGCCGAGGCGGCAGAGGGAGCTCCGCTGGCGGTGTAGTACCAGTATCCTGCGCCACCGGCAGCGGCTGCGGCGAGGGCGAGCAGCAGGGAGGAGGAGGAGGACTGCTTGGTGGGTTCGGAGGAGTAGTAGCGGCGGCCGTGCTGACGGAAAGCCTGACGAGGAGCAACAGCGAAGGTGTTCCTCGTGGCAGCACGGGCGGCTGTGCGAGTGAAGGTGCGAGCAGCAGAAGCCATCTGATTGGATATTGTGGTAAGCAGAGGGAACAATGGGTGAAACGCCGAGATTGGGAATTAGAGTTGAAGCTATCTGTGGTGTCCAACGGGGAGAGATTGACTGGCATATGCAAAATTACGTGTATACAGTACACCCGGATACCTCTTGAGCATGTGCCAATGCAGACAATTCATAGCAATCGAGATATCAAGCGTCGAGTAGGGGAGGACTTACGATGTGGAAATGTCAGGTTTGTGCTGGGCAAATTCCGGAGTTTGGAGAGAGCGTATGATGTAGAAAAGATCAAGAACAAGAACAGCAGAACAGAGAAAGCTGGGCAGAAGGGCATAGAAAACAGAAACCCATCCCGCGGGTCAGACAGTACGTTTTTCGGCAGCCAGCGGCTTGAGGTACCTCGTCTGAGGCCCGTGAAAGCAGTGATGGGGCAGGGGGGTGTTGAAATTGGAATTGCCTCATTGGCTGGCCAGAAGCTGCCCCAGCTTAAGGCAGCGGGGCAGAGCCTCGACGCTAGTGGAGGTACGACGTAGTTTGGCCCCAAGCAGTTTAGCACAATCTGCGCCCGCAGCCATCAGACAGGTTAGTGCTGCTCGGGGCAGGGTTCAGGGTGCTGCCAGCCCGAGTACCCTCGACTGGCCTCTCATGAATTCCTCTCCGCACCGCTTGCTGTTGCCCCGCCACTTTGGGTCCTGTGTCGCGAGGCAGGCCACTGTGGAAATGGGGGACGGGGCCACAAGTGGGAGACGAAGGCAGATAGGGAAGACCCGCACTTCGGAAAGGATATTCACGTGTGAGATGGCGACCGCTCTATCAGGGCATTGGCTATTCTACTTGTCCCGTGTGTGTGTGTTACAGCGCCTACGGATCGGCCAGGAACAGACACATGGGTGGCACGACCAAGCCGGGAGCTCCCTAAAGGTTGCTCGAGAAGAGGGTGTCCTGTTGCCGAACACCACCGAACCGTCTGTAGTTCCGGCGATGACTCGGCCCTCAGATGGGAGTGATGACTCGTAATCGGCCGTAGCTAATAAGGCCGGGGGGGGGGGGACTTGGCATCTGCTAACGTCTGAAAGATTTGGAATTGGTTATTATGGGAGACCCTAGCATACACCGACGAATGAATAATTCTGTTTCGTCGATCACCAGGAGGGAACTCGGTTACCGGTTAACGATGTAAAATGGCACCTCAGTGATTCATGCTTATTCGCGGCCTGGCACGATTTGTCATCAGCCGGCACGGACCCTGGCTTGGAATTTGGAATTCTTCCCTGCGAGTCATCCATGGCACCCACAGCCGCACTCATCCGCAGAGTCGTTCGGGAAACCTTCGCCGGCAAAGGGTCCATGCCTGCTCCCCATCCTGACAAATCAGTGCAACTACTCATCGGTCACGGAAGCTAGCGGTGGTACAAGTTAGCACATGTACCCCGCTGATTTGGTTGTGCCTATTGATTGTATTGCTTAATTAGATGAGGCACTTGGCTCACTGGGCCATGAGCAACTATCAAGACTATCAAAATGTCCTCAGAGTGACATGTCGTAATAGCAAGGAAAGATTTGAGCAAAAGAAAAGTCCATGAATGCCTTCTTGAAAACAAATATAGCCACCCACTTCCTGTCTGTTGAGGAAGCTATCCCTTGGTTTCCATACAAGAAACGAAACGCCTAAATACTGACTCCATATCCATCGAAATCCTGGAACGCACTTCCTCAGTTGAAATCTGTTGGGATCTGTGCATCCGAAGTAGGCTCTCCGTAAAGTTCATAGAAGGCAAAAGACTTGGCAGTTGCCTTACGTATCGACTGCTCATCCAGCTCGCCTCGGCTGGCACCGTTCTCCTTAGCATTGGTGCCGGATCTCGAGGCATACGAGACAGAAGTTGGCCTGCGATGGATATCAGTTAGGTCAACACAATACATTGGATAAGTAGGGCGGAAAAGAGCTTACCCGAACATCTCACGATCGACCTGCAGGTAGGTCTTCATCGCGTCCTTGCTGCCGCGTTGAACGAGAAATTCCAGGTATTGCTTCGTGTACTCGAGCTTCAGAGCAGTTGGCAGGCGACTCTTGTTGCGGAGATCTTCAAACACGTGGGCCACACGCTCCTCCTGGTCTTCATCTCCAGGTTGTTCCAACTCGAACTGAAACCATCGATCCCAGAAGATGCGGCTATCAGCATACCACTGTACATTCTTCAAGAAGACTGCCCGCGCTTCGTCAGCGGAGCGGTTTGTCTTCCAAAGCAAGTAAGCCCATTCGGCTACCAGAGCGGCTTTGGTGTAGAGGTCAACCGTTGGGGTATCAATCTGATCCCTGTACACTTGAACCGCCGCCTCCAGGCCGGACTGGCGGCGAGCAACGTTCGCCCAGGATGTAACTATCTCAATGCAGTCGGGAATCTTGTCCAAGAGGGCCTCGTGGATAGCAAGTGCAACGTCGACGCGGCCGAAAGCCTCCTCAAAGTAAGCCCACTGGAGGCGGATTCCGGGTCGGCTGACTGGAACAAACACGGTGCATGCTCGTCTGTAGATGTTACGGACTTCCTCTTCCTTGCCATCTTGGCCAGACATCCATCGGGCATAGCGAAGCCAAAATTCTTCGTAAAGGGCGCATGTAGTCAAGCATCGCTCGTACAAGGTGGTGATTCGAGCGAAATCACCCTCCTGTTCCTCAAAGTCCAGATACTTTTGCCAGTTGCTAAGCTGCTGCTGGTCAAGTTCTGTGACGTGAAAGTAAGGACGCTTAATCTCCGATTCATACGTCCATCTCTTGCCTACTTCCCCTTGAGTAGAGGCAAAGATCTCGTAGAACATTGCGTCAACTTTGGTGCGGATCTCACGTTCCATGGCCTCCCCAGCTTGCTCGCCGATCCCACGCGCATTGTATTCACTCTCTACTTCGGATCGGAATTTAGCGATGATGTCTGCAGATGCAAGCTCTGTTAGAGGGCGCTCAAGGGCCAAAACGCGAAATCGCTCATAGTATCGAGCATATTGATGCAAAGGAATGCGAACCACACGGGCATGAAGGGCATAGATTCGGTCATGTGCTTCTTGGAGGCCTTCATAGTCGATATATCTGTCCCAGAAGATATGGGCCATGAAGTCGAGTCCAACAGCGTTGGCGCCTCGCTCAAATAGTCTGACAAGTCAGCGGTGATGTTCGGGTGTGGTAAGGGACATTGAGGATGGGGAGGGGTAGAGTAGCAGTACAGAGGGACAGATGACAACAGAGCAACTCGACAAGACGGATCCGAGCTGGGAGGGGACGATCGAGACGCGACGGGAAGCTGGAAATGAGCAAGCACAGTTATCTGAACAAAGTCAGACGACACAGGATCGGGGGAGGGGGGGGGTCTGGAAGGGAGGGCTGATAGGAAGGTATCTCTGGCTGGGACTCGCGCGAAGGTAACCGATTCGGTGACATAGGAAATAGGGATGACATAGGAAATGGGAAAGGTCACCAGCGCCAGCAGATACAACTTACTCTCTGACCAGTTGGGGGTCGTGTGTGGTCTCGGTCTTGAAGTTACAGTACGCGAGCCAGAGATCAACTGAGTTTGAGACGCTGGCCACGCCTCGCTCATAAACCTAGAATGTGTACGCGCATGAGCCCATTTTCTCTCGACGGCGTTCGGTCGAAAGCGTTCGTTCTCACCATCTCGGCAGACTCGGGTCCAGCGATGCTAAACTCGAACTCTGCATACTTGGACCAGTACCCAAAGAGAAGCGGGAACTTGTGAAGGAAGCGGTCGTACGCATCTCGAAATGTCTCGAGAGCGGCGGGGCTGGAGTTGCGGTTGATGCCGCCCTCGAGTGCTTCGCAAGCTGCGATCAGGGCCTCCCAGTGCTCGAAGCTGTCCGGGTTCGCCTCCTATTGAGAAGAAGTCGTAAGTAAATGGTCAAGCAACACCCAGAGCCAATGCGAAAGCTCGCGTGCTATACTTACCACATCAGCATTGTGCTTGCGAACTGCGGCGTACTCCTCCTCGGAGCCGCCAAAATGAGCGAAATCACTCATGGCGACGCAAGGCGGACGAATGAGGTGCGGAGTGAGCTAGGATGCAATGGTTAAAGCTTGGTTGGTCGGAGGAAGGTGATGAACAGGAAGGTTGTTGAAGATGCGAATGAAGGAAGATGGGAGGTTCGACGACCCGCCGGGAAATTTGACTGGGGCTTTCCTAGGCTGATGTTAGCTCAAGCTACGCTAGTTGTAGCGCCTGGCAGGGAAGAGGTGCGCTGAGGCTGCGTTGAAGGCCGGTCTCAGAAGCTCCTCAGATGCTCTTCAGATTGGTCGCCGGATTGTTTTGATTGGGTGGCGCGGTGTCAACATGCAGGCTGGTGGGTACCTGAGGCTGTAGTGAGCAGGTCCATGCACATAAGCGGGTTATCCTACAGACGGTGCGGGATGACTCAGCAAGTATGAAGTCGGAATTTATCAAGATGCCTGAGCTCCACTTCAGAGTTGAAAGTTTCTTCATTATTTATCGGCTCGTGATGATTTCAACACATAAATATATGATAGGAAGAGAATGAACGCCCCTTTATAAGGAGCATGATCTCAGTATCGAATCTGAAGCCTTGTCAAAGACATTTTTTAAATTCATTATTCACTCTTTAATCCCCCTTTCAGAGATTGGTCCTTGATAGCATTCCCTCATCTTGCTTGCCTCTTTTTTCTACACTCTCATGTCCTTCCCACTAACTCAATTACATTGCATGGAATTCTATTCTTTTCTGTGAATGCCAATCGCACGGGGGAGATCTCTGGGAGCCTCCCACGTACGTGCCAATTTCCTCAACTCCCTCCAGTCGTACAGGTGTCGTGGTGGCCCATCTTGTCTAGCCAGTTTGCTGGCACCACTGAGGGCACTTGAAACGCATGATTTCTGCTGTGGCCAATGACACTATTCAGAGGCCTCTTCCCATCACCAACCCTTATGCCGTAGGACTACACGTAGACGAAGCATGAAATGCTGAAGACAAGTTTTTTGCTTTATCTTGGATCGCTGGCACCGGAGCGAGGCTTCAGTTATGCAGAGGGCACGTGTCTGCCCAACCCCAAGAATAGCACCTGTATCATTGCATGAGGAGCACTTGTGCCGTCGCCCGCCACTCATGTACCGTATGAAGGCCTAATTAGTAATGCTGGGGAAGAAGCTATTGGTGATGGAAGATAACGACGGAACTGACTCAACCCACGTCATTTCGTGGTGCTGAACATTCCCCCCACTAAACCGTGAGCTAAGTGAGGCAAGTCGAGGCAAGGGTCCTTGCTATTGCTCTCTGGGAAACAATCAGCACGACCTCGCATTGAATGTCAGCCCTCCACATGAATCTCTGAAACTACAAAGAAAGGTCTCCTTGTCCCAGCAATGGCGCAATAGGTGGCTTCCTCCAGCAGAAAAAAAACGCCCGGGAATTGCACCCGACATTCCTCCTCCCTCCCGCCGATGGTCTCCGTCTCGACACCATGGATCAATCGCCTGGGACCTGGAGCATCCAGGCTCCAGCGCCCGAGAAGTCGAGCGAGCTGTATATTCGCGACCACCCGCACCGATCGATCGCCATAGTCTCCTCGTCCCATGCCCTGATCCTGCGCTATAGCTCGTCCTCGAGCGACTTCGCTCCCAATGGCTCCCACGCCTCTCTCCACTCGAACCGCGGCCGGAACGGCGCGGGTGATTCCACATCGGCCAAGTGCATGGTGGAATTCACACCCGTCACACAGAAACTCCTCAAAGATTACCGTCCCCTCTCTCACCGACCGGTATACGGGACCTTGGGCCTCATCGCTGTGAATGGGGAGGTCTTCTTGTCCATCATTACGCAAGCCGCCAGGGTTGCAAGCGTGCGCCCAGGCGAGACGGTTGAGCAGATCGGGAGCGTAGCCTTCTACTGCCTCAGCAGTGCCGACTACGATGATGTTGTCCCTCTTGACGCAGTCGAGCCCGAAATGTCCGATGCGGTCTCTACCTATGCCCAGAACTCGCCGTATGGTCAGAACTTGAGCAGGCGAGATGTCCTCCCTGAGCATCCATGCCATGAACTACGAAAGCTTTTAAGCAATGGCTCCTTCTATTACAGCACAGACTTTGATGTTACAAACCGTATGCAAGACAGGTAAGGAGGGAAATTTCCGAAACACCGTTGCATCGGGAGCACCTTGAGGGCTAACCGTTCGCTGTCTAGGCCAATGAACTCGGACTCTTTTGAGATTGACAATTTTGATGATGCGTTCCTCTGGAACTCCTACATGATTAAGCCCCTGGTGAAATTTCGCTCCAGGTTAATGTCACAAGAGCGTGAGGCGCTTGATGCTTCGCGAATTCTGACTTCGGCGTTCCGAGGTTTCTGTAAGACAATGACAATACCTCAGAGCTCATCACCGCTCAGAGCCAAGACGGGTATGCCTTCATACCTGACGCTCACGTCCCGCCTTTCTTGCCGTCGAGCGGGAACACGTTTCAACTCTCGTGGCATAGACGACGACGGCCATGTGGCGAATTTTGTGGAAACGGAGACAACATTCTGGTCACCAGCCGGGGTGGCCTTTTCATACGCTCAAATTCGAGGCTCGGTGCCCGTCTTTTGGGAGCAAGCCGCAGACCTTATTCCGGGTCGGCAGAAGATAACTGTAACGAGATCTCCGGAAGGCGCCCAGCCGGCATTCAACAAGCACTTCGACGAGCTCGAACATACGTACGGTGCTGTGCATGTGATAAATCTCCTGAGTGAAACCAAGCCTGGAGAAGTGGAGTTGAGTAATCTCTACCGCAATGGACTTCGACACTGTCCTTTGACCCGGCCGAGCCCAGATGGTTCGGTCGATCACGCCTTGCTGCGAGATACCCAGTATGATTTTCACGCGGAAACGAAGGGCCCCGCAGGGTATGAGGCGGCAAAGGATATCAGACGGTATATCGAGCACTCAACGGATGGCTTCGCATACTTTCTAGCTGAACAGGCCAACGACTCGTCGAATGATCTTGACGGTCTCCATAAGTCCCGGATGGTGGTCATCCTCCAGCAAGAGGGCGTGTTCCGCACCAACTGCCTAGATTGCCTGGATCGGACCAATTTAATACAGAGCATCATCTCCCAGATGGCTGTTGAAGCATTTTTAGGACACAGGGGCGAATATGCTGCAGCCGATTTCTGGATGCGACACTCGAGCCTTTGGGCTGACAACGGAGACTCACTTTCCAAGATTTACGCCGGGACTGGTGCGTTGAAATCATCATTCACACGACACGGGAAAATGTCGCTCGCTGGAGCCGTTGCGGACGTTCGAAAGTCTGTGCAGCGCATTTATCATAACAACTTCCTCGACCCGTCCCGCCAGATCACCATTGACATGCTCCTGGGGCGTCTTGTCGGGCAAGCCCCAGTCTATTTATTCGACCCCGTCAGCGACTATGTCTCCGCGGAGCTGGGCAAGAGAAGTGAAGAGTACACATCTTTCCGGTCGATAAGCATGTGGGTTGGCACCTTCAATCTAAACGGGCGTACAGAAGGCGCAGATGAAGACCTCTCCCCGTGGCTCTTCCCACCAGCCATGGGTTCAACACAGCCAGACGTATACGCTGTAGGGTTCCAGGAGATTGTCGAACTCAGCCCTCAACAGATTATGAATAGCGACCCGACTCGGAAGCAACTCTGGGAACAGGCTGTCAGAAACACACTTAATCGCCGCCAGGCCGCGTTGGGAGGAGAAAAGTATGTGCTCCTACGGAGCGAACAGCTGGTTGGGGCCGCACTTTGCGTCTTCGTAAAAACGACGTCGTTGGGGAGAATAAAGAATGTTGAAGGCAGTGTCAAAAAGACGGGAATGTCCGGCATGGCTGGAAACAAGGGAGCAGTCGCTGTTCGATTTGACTATGCCAACACCCAGATTTGCTTTGTCACGGCACATCTTGCGGCAGGTTTCGCCAACTACGACGAAAGAAACCGAGATTACGCGACGATCCATCATGGTTTGCGATTTCAGCGTAACCGAAGTATTGATGACCATGGTAAGTTATTGCTAAGGAGAGTGCGTGCAAGATTCAGTCTCCATTCTGGTGCTAACGACCATCACAGATGCTGTTATATGGTTGGGAGACTTCAACTACCGCATTGGACTCACCTCAGAGACTGCTCGTTCTCTTGTCCAAAGAGGTGATCTCGAGACGCTTTATGAAAACGACCAGCTGAACTTGCAGATGGTTGCAGGGCTGGCCTTCCCATTCTACTCTGAGGCAAGGATCACCTTCTTGCCGACATACAAATTCGACATCGGGACAGATACATATGACACTTCGTAAGATACCCAGAACCTATGTTTGAAAGAGAATCACTCGGTACATGAACATTCTAACCCAATTTCTACAGGGAAAAGGCTCGTATTCCTGCTTGGACAGATCGCATCCTGCGCAAGGGACCCAACCTGCGTCAGAATCTATACAACTGCGCCCCCTTGAAGTTCTCGGATCACCGGCCAGTGTACGCCACATTCGACTGCAGAGTAAGCATCATCGATGAACCAAAGCGAGAGGCCATCAGCCAGCAACTCTATAGCAAACGAATTGCGGACGTGGGAGATGCGGTTCACATTGCAGAGGGCGACGAGACGGAGGATGAGGATCTAATCGGATACGATGCCATCGAGCCCGGGCTGCCGCCAGCGAGCTCCGATCGGCAGAAGTGGTGGCTGGACAAGCAACAGCCAGCCCGCGCCCAAGTAACCGCTCCCGAGGGCAGAGACGGCCAGCCAATGGTTCTCAATCCTCACCGTCCTTCAAACCCATTCGGTCACAACGAAGAGCAGGATTGGATATCCATCTCCCGCTCCTCATCCAGGGCATCGCTGACGAGCCTTTCAAGTTCACCATTTGAGAAGGTGATGGTGCCCAGCATGATCAATAGTTCCGCATCCAGTATCGCACCAAGGAAGGTTCCTCCTGTCGGCAGTTACGAGAATGGCAGCCTGGCTGCGAAAGTGGGACGAATGAACTTGGCCAGCGATCAAGACGTGCGGGCCGGAGGTGTTCCACCACAACTACCGCCTCGGAGGCAGACGGGAGACATGGCGCCGGACTCACCATCCGTGCTCAACGCAGCAGGAGGTCCTAGATCAGGATCAGGGTTGCCAGCAGGTCTCCAGGCGCCTCTGCGACCCACCTCGGCCGCATCTTCATTCTCATCGACGCAGGGGAACTGTGCATCACCACAACCTACTGGGGGGAAACAGCCGCCGCCCGTGGCCAAGAAACCGGCCTATCTCACCAGCCCCGTGCTTTCAGACCCCTCATCGAACGGGGCCGCCGGCGCGAACAACGGGTTCGCCGCACCCTTACAAAAGTCACGAACGATGCCGGTAGCTGCGTCTAGCAGAAAACAGGGCCCAGTATTGCCTCCGGACCGGGCAAGTGGATCGATGGCCGGGCCGTCCCAGAGAAACCCCGGGCAACATCAACAGCAAGGGCCCATGGATTTACTTGACGATCCCAGTCAGGATCTCTTGGGCGGATGGGAAGCATTGCAGCCAACCTCTCGCACGGGGCGGTAGGGTTGAACAGCTGCTGTCAAGCGAAGGAATACCAACCCCTGGCGGGACCATGGATTCTTACTCGTAGCGACACCGGGGCAGGAAGAGATGGGAAGCACGGCGTTTTGGATGAGATTGGGATCATGGGATGGCCCGAGAGTACATGTTGGATATCACACATCGGACTCTGGAAGTGGGAGGTTTAGCGGTATACGGAGGGAAGGCAAAACCACCTAGGTCTTGAAGCGATGGCAAAAAGGAAGTTGGTCTAAAACATATTGGAATATTCTCCCTAGCTATCTTTGTGCACGGACTTTATGATTTACAGACAAAACTAATGAGAATAAGCGATCGCACTGCCATAGCTCGTGGATACAGGACGTGAGTGACGCTCGAATGAGGCCCGTGGGTGATCAGCGTCTGGTCCGACCATCATGCCCGGAATAGGCGCTTACCCTGCAGGCGTCTAGGCCATGGCGCACCACGTCGGTTCCACTGGGGGGAGCATTGTCTGGCCGCGGTGACGGGATAATAAAGTTGACACCAGATCCTCCTAGGACGAGGCGGCCTGTGCTGACAGCCCACGGCAAGTTTCGCGCGCTGTGACACGCGCCCGGGCAACAAGGTTCCATCTGGGCGTGCAGCTTGTGTCAGGCCGCCAGCGCCTTGACCCGGGTCTAGGCCCTCGATAGGCCCCCGGGGCCCCAATCACGAGGCGGGCACGATAACACGCAATGCCTGCCTGCCTGCGGGATTCAGAGGATGGATGCCAGTTGCAGTGTCCTGCCCAATGCACACACAGAGAGGCTCGACTGCCGAGTCATGGCCATGGCGGGCGGTCACGGACCAGGGCCAGGGCCAGGGCCAGGACTGGGACTTGGACCTCCTGCTCGCCGAGTTCTCCCCACCCCCACAGATCCACTCATCCGCTGGAGTGAGGCGGTCTCCGGCCGTCGACGAGGAGGGGAGGAGGAGGAGGAGGCATCTGTGGGCTGAGGCTGGTCAATCACGGCCAGGCAAGCTGACTTGGATGGCTGCACAGATATGGAGGCATCCTGTTGTACATCTGTGCATGAACCCGCCCATGTCACCGTACCGCGCTGGATGACTGGCTGTCTCCTCCAGCACCCTGTACCGCCTCTGCCCATCCTTGCAGCGAAGCCGGACCACGGCAAAACGACAGTGACAGTCCCCAAGGCGAAAAAAAACGCTACCATAACTCCCATCACGCGGCGCCAGCGTTGGTGCGTCCTAACGCCCAAGGTTCTGCCTCCCATCCCACCCTGCCTTCATCGCGTGCCACCTGTTCCCGCTAGTCAAGGTAGTGTAGTTGCGCTTGGGCTTGGCTTTGACCTCGCCGTCCCATTGAAACCCTCGATGAGGCTTGTACAGAGTAGTCATAGTCTGGGCCGCTCCCACAGGGCCTCTTGTCTCACGGCTTCAACCCGGCCTGATAACCCATTTGACTCCCGCCTTCTTCCCCAAACCCAATGCAAAACTCGCCTCACTGCCGCTTTGATCTGACACAGCCGTGCCTATCTTTTACTCGTGCCGGCCTGATCCGTCCAATGCCCAGTGTGTGTACAGCATATGCCCACCTCAGCTGCCCTCGTGACCCCTCCGCACTCTTTATCGTGGGTGGTTTCACTGGGCGCCCAGCAGTATCAAACGATCACTAGGTAACGGCGCGCGGCGAATAAGCCACCACCACCACCACCACCACCGTCTGTCACTGACGAGACCAACTCGCCCATCACCCCCAACCGTCATAACCGCCAACTTCCCTCTCACGCCCTCAACCAAATCCATCAATCACTCACCCATCGGCTCGAGTACATCTCCACGCGTCCAGACTGCCGCCCAGTGCACGCCAACTACTCCTACTTTGGACAGTCCAGGCTCTGTCCAGGGCGAGATCGCCACGCACTAATACGCATCCCCACCTCGCAATCACCAGTATATCAGTGTCGGCCAATCCGTGAGAACCAGGCACAGGAACCAGCTCGCTCTAATTTCCCCCCAAGCTGGAATCCTTCTCTTATACCTCGTCTTTTCCAAAATCCAGGAGAGGGATTAGACAGAAATCCAACATCCTCTCTCCCTCTCTCTCTCTGGGCGCCAATCTTCCTTTGCAAGTGGGCTTTTTGCTGTCGGCATTCATGCATCTGAATTGCGCCCCTTTGCCACATCGGATTTAAACAAACACTCATCGCCTCAACGCTGCTGTCACTCCCTCGATACTCGTGTTAGAGGATCCCCCCCCCAATCCCGCGACCAAAACTCTGATCTGGGGAGCCCACTCATTGTTTCGCAACATCGGAGACTGGCGCTGGCAAAGCTTGCCAGGAAGCGAACACCGTCTCAACCTTAAAATCCCTGCAGCACCTTAGACAACCATCCTTGGGAACCGCCTAGCCCAGCAAAAAGGGACACCCTCAATTCCAATCCCTCAGCTTCACAAGCGACAGAGAAAGAAAAGGGAGGAAAACAAGCACAATCGTTATATCGCCCCGATAACCAATCTCATCTTCCCAGTCCCTTTCTCTCTGATACCCAAGCAAAAACACCACCAAAATGGACCAAACTCCCGACGCCGACGTCCCACCCCCCATGTCCCGCGTCAAGCAGAACCGCATCGACATCTGGCGCAACGAGGTCGCCGCCCTCACCCTCGACACAGCCCTCGACACAAGCGACGACCCGTCCCGCCACTCCCCGCCCCCATCCTCCGCGACCTCGTCCGCCTCCTCCTCCAGCAGCTTCCTCTCCCTCTCCTCCCCCACCTCGAGGGGCCGCCGCTTCTGGCGCCGCCTCAGCCACCGCCTCACCGGGAGGCCCCTCGACCCCTCGCCTCCCGACGTCGCCAGGACGGACATGTACCGCACAGAGCAGCAGTCGTCCTCCCCTCGGCATACCGCCCCCAAGGACCTGGGCAGGAGGCACACGGCGGAAGCAGCCTTGGGCGAGGAGAGCAGCCGCGACGGGCTCCAGGGCGCGTTGGGCGCCAAGCAGGACCGGCTGGAGCGGGCGGCGAGGCTACTCGAGGAGGGCCCCGTGCGGGAATGAGTAGGCGGGATCTCTCTATGATGGGGGGAGGAAACCCCGTCTTTAATGTCTTATTTTACGTATCTAATGAACTGAGCAATGAGGAATATACACACACATAGGGCCGGTATAGTGGGCAGGGGCGAAATAAACTTGATTCCCTCTTTTTTTATGCATATAATATATATTGCTCGTACGTTGTCAGTACCTCCGGCTGGAGTGTATATGCAGGCTGCCTTTGCCTACGCCGTCAAAGTACATAATATAAAGTTACCTAATCCCCGATGCGGGGTGGATATTTTGGATCGAGCACAGCACGTTTTGTGAATAAGTATATCATTCAGTATTGATTTTTTTATTAATTTAAAGCCATCTCAGCCGTTCCAAGGAACTCTGTCCGTGTTGTCCGCGGCGATACAAGAAAGAACAAAGTAACGATCCACAGGAACAAACCACAGAAAACTAACTAGGAGGTTTCTGACCATTGTGTGCGAACCATGTTGTGTCTTGAAAGCGTTGGGGACGAGCTCTTGCAGGCACAAGAGCAAGGCTATCTTCTGCCATGTGGGCTGAGACGTGCTTGACTGCTTCTTCATTGACGTGATGAGACGAAACGGTATGACAGGTAAGGAAAAGGGTAAAAAAGAAAAGACGACAGCAATAGTAGAAAACATCTCCATGGCAATTCAGTGAGAACCGAAAAGAAAAGAGAATATCGTGAGGGTAGACAAGCGAGAGATAAAGAGGCGCGCGAGATGGAGGCATTCTTGCGATTATCTGTCGGTCCAGAGAAACCATCCATTCCACCACCGTTGGCAGTGAAACCGGTCCGTCTCCTGTACCAAGTTAAAGCAACAAACGTGAAGAACAAGATCCACGCCGCAAACCAATTTTCCCACCCAACTCCCCCCGATCCAAATCATTTCGCATCCCCTCCTGCCATTACAGCAACGCACCGCGTAGAGGGACTAGTATATTAGCTAGCCAGCCAGCCAGCGTTGGAAGACGTGACCCAGCCACCCCTTGTCCAAAAGGCGAACAGAGTGTCGGAAAAGGGAGGCATCTCGGTTTCCAACCTGCCCGAGACGCCTTTGGTATCAGGAAAGAAGTAGGGACAGTTGTTTTAAGAGGCAGCGGCGGGAGCGGGCTGCTCCTCGGCCGGCTTGGTCTCCTCCTCGGCAGGCTTGGGTGCCTCGGCCTCCTCCTTCTTGGCGCCGTCAGCAGCCTGAGCCTCAGCATCGCCGCTATCGGACGAGGTCCAGAGGGTGAGGTTGTCGCGCAACAGTTGCATGATAAGGGTGCTGTCGCGGTAGGATTCCTCAGAGAGCGAGTCGAGCTCGGCAATAGCATCATCAAATGCCTGCTTGGCCAGGTGGCAAGCACGGTCGGGGGAGTTGAGGATCTCGTAGTAAAAGACAGAGAAGTTCAGGGCAAGACCGAGACGGATGGGGTGGGTGGGGGTAAGCTCAGTCTGTGCAACATCGGTGGCACTCTGCGTAGAGGTGTCAGTCGAGACCAAAAAAATTGGCTCAAGTGGAAGTGGATGGTGTATGGGCTCAAGGGTATGGTTTTTACCTTGTAGGCCTCGTGGGCGGCAGTGGCAGCGACCTTGCGCTTCTCACCAGAGGCAAACTCGGCAAGGTAACGGTGGTAGTCACCCTTCCTGATGAATGGGGAAAAAAGGGAAAGCGTCAGCCAAACCAAATGATTCATCGATCACAAAACACACGACCAAGGCTCTTCACGAGGAATTCCATTGCCGAGAAAGAAACGAAAAAGAAGGGGGAAGAAATAACAAAGGAAACAATGAACTCACATCTTGTGGTAGAAGACCTTAGACTCGCCGGTGGCGGCGTTGGGGATAAGGCTGTCGTCGAGGACATCGAGAACATCCTGGCAAACCTTCTCGAGCTCCTCCTCAATCTTGATGCGGTACTCCTTGATGGTGGAAACGTGCTTGTCGGATCCCTTAGTCTCCTCCTTCTGCTCGATGGAGGAGATGATACGCCATGAAGCACGGCGGGTACCGACGACGTTCTTGTAGGCGACGCTGAGAAGGTTGCGCTCGTCAACGGTGAGCTCACCGCCGAGCTTGGCAACCTCCTTCATGTAGGTGACCATTTCATCGTAACGCTCGGCCTGCTCGCAAAGGCGGGCGAGGAAGGTCTTGCTGTAAAATCGAGGGCACACGGTCAGACTTGGTTCGGTTTCAAATGCGAGCAAAGTTGGGCGGGGTCAAGGGGCTTCTGGATGTCAGGAACACAAACAAACCTTTCACGCTAGATAAGGAACAAACGGGTTAGCCTCGAAATATCTCGAATAAGAAGAGTAAAAGAAAAAAAAAAAGAGTGAAATGATGCAAATCCTCGCGTGCCAAAACACCAGGAAACTGCAGGCGCCGCGTATGGGGCGTGCGTCTGACAGTTTCTGCTGGCGCAGAGGTGCTGAGGGGCTGCGAAGAAATGAGGGCAGCCGGCACAGGATGGGCGGATCAAAGGGCAACAGCAGGGGCAGAGAAAAATCAAGCTTACCTCGGTCGCCATTTCGAAAGAGATGCGAGTACTGGGAAGAGATATAGAGGTCGTGGGATAGGAAAGGCTGGAAGTGGGATGGCAGTGAGTCGTGGAGGAGGAGTTTTGTTTCGAAGAAGTGCGGGAGGGCGGCGTGTGTGAGGCGTTGAGAATGGGCTGTGTTTATATTTTGGCTTGGGGTTTCGATGGAAGGCTTTGGGGGGGTGGAGGGGGAGGGGGTCCGCGGCCCAGTGCAGACAATGGAAATTGGGCGAAAAGCGCAGGGTAGGTGAGCGCCAAGTGAGGCCCGTTTGACGGTGACGGGGAGGGACAGCAAACTGTTGAAGCTAAGGCACCCAGCCAGCGCTTTAGGGGGCGGGTCTGCCGGCTGTCTGGCTCTGGGTGCGTGCGAGATAGGCAATTCTACTGGAACCTCGCGGCCAGAGTCGCCAACACGGCGTCTGTAGGCCACTACCCGCCTCTAGGTACAGGGCATCCATAATACGGCGTGGCCATGTTGGTGCTGAAGCCGACCCATCAGCCATCAATGGTGGGGCAGCAGGTCCCGTGCACCGCCATTGGCCTTGCTCAGTGTCCTTCTGAATGGTTTCCGTCTTCTCTGCTTCTGCCCCCAAATTAACAGGTGCCTGGCTGTCATGCCTCGCACACCTGAAGCAAGCTGCCTCGTGGCTGCGAGCGATAATAGGGCCTGCCTGCGACCACATGTGCGTGTTGCAGCTCTCGCACCTGCTCCTAGCACTGCTGCGGGGTTGGTGTTGCTCTCTAAGCCAGGGACCGACTGGGCTACCGCTCTGGGTACTCCGTGGGAGGCATGTGTAACTCGCCCATGAGCATGAGGCCAGTAAGGATGAGCTGGAGAATACCTTAGTCCCTGCAGTCAGGGCCATAATACCCGGCTGGGCTGGGCAGAATCGTCAGTGGCTACCAAGGCAGGCAGGCAGGTGCTGGGCCATGCCTCCTACATCTACGTAGGCCTGCTGCTCCCTACATTGATGCGTCACTGCAAAAGGACTGGCTGGGCCGCTAACAGTTGGCCTAGTACCCCGGCTGGCTTCTGCCCGAGCCGAGACCAAGTGCCCACAAATTATAGAGCCCTGGCCCTGCTCCAGGGAAGTGTTGATCATGTCATATTGGCCTTTCCTCCTGATTGGTACTGCGATTCTATTATGTAGGTATGTTGAGCCGATATATAGCAGCAATAATCCAGCTGCGCTGCTTGGTTGGCGCCCAGGAGAGCGAAAGCCAACGTTTGTCGCCGCCTATCACCATCTCGGAACTGGGCTAACTTCACTTCGTCATGGAGTGTGTGACGGGGTGGGAGCCAGTGGTGATTGGACTGCGTAGGGAGATTTTCTTGTGAGCCAGGCGCTTAACAAAAGCTGGCCGTGACATCTTTGCGGCAGTGTGAATGGGCAAACTCTGCCCTCAGCTCAAAGCAAAATTACGCACCAGACACACAACATAGAAACATGGGTGGCTGATGTCTTGCGCTTCTGCATTGCACATGTTCCCTCAATAAACACACGGGCGGGTCAGGCTGGGCTAGGCAGTGTTCCATGTCTCGCTCTCACCTTGAAGCAGTTCCCAGCCCCAGTTCAGTCCTTGGCCTGTTCATGCTACCTATTGAGATACCCCGCCAGATTCACGTGCTGTCATACTTGCCCCCTGCCCATTCAGTCGGGTTTGTATCGGAGGATCCGTGTCTCATTAAAAAGTAAGAAACATCAATGCTGTCCTCTTCTGCCCGCCTCACCATCACCGAGCCTAGACTCGCCACCGGGCATGAGCGTCTTCTGACATACGTAAGGCATGGAGGTATCCATTCTAGATCCTCGTCAACTGTATGCTGAGCCTCTAAGCCGCCGCCACGAACTGCGGCTGTGTCGTCACACAATGTGGGAACAAGTGAGAGAGGCTCGACTCGACCGAGAACCCAACACCCCACGTAGGAGTTGGCTGCGTCGTGTGCGAGGGCCTCGTCCATTTATGCATGTAGTCGCTCCATCCGGTTTCAGCCGTGACCCATTTCGCCAGGCTTTTTTCATGGTGGAGATGAGACACACGCGCGGATGTGCGTGTGCTCCCGTTCCCTCCGTTCCATCTGATCTCGAGGCATGACTCTTCATTCTGCCCGAGAGGAAAATTCCTGGTAAACCGCCTGCTTCATGGGCACCTTACTGCTGTTGGTTCCCTGAGTCGCCCTCCTTCACATGCTGAGCAGCTATTAGTAGAATAGTCTATTTATTTATTGACCATGAGACCAAGAGGGTATGAGATATTATATATTAGATATACTTTAGGATCATTAACAAAAGGATGATTCTTGAATGCCTGAACCACTCCAACTATGGACTCTCTCTCTCTACGCAGTAGCTGCCCGATCCCCCCACACATTATAGCTCATCCTCCACCACCTCGGAGGTCCCTATCGGGCCACGGCCCCAGTTTGTAGGATCACCTCCTGGTATACACAGGCCAAGTCTCCAAAAATAATCTCGATGGGCGAAAAACAGTTCCCATAGCTTATATCGTGAATAAGGGTCGCTGTCTGCAATACAATTGGGGTCATCGTCCCCATGACAGTGGCGCACATCTCTTTCTGCGGGTGAGAGGCTCGCTTTAGATATGAATATCTCCCCAGCATGGGAGCTGTAGCCCCATTCTGTCAGTGGGAGAAGTGGGACAGGATCGTTCGCGTGAGTGACTCGTCGATACGGCCGATGGTCCGGTTGGGCATCTCCCTCCAAGTCGAATACGGAGTCGATGAACTTCGCAAACTGGCCGTTGCCAACCCGAGGTTCTCCAAACGTAGTGACGACCAGGTTGTCCCATCCAAACGCCAGCTTCAGCTCGAGCGCCGCAAGACAAGCCAAAGCCCCGCCGAGGCTATGCCCGACGAGATGAATGGGCGAGTTTGGGTATTTCTCCCGTAGTCCAATAAGTTGAGGTACAACCACCGTCCTCGTAGTCTCCCACGAACTCATAAAACCCATGTGAACCGTACAGTTCGTACAGACAGGGTGAGGCTTGTCAGTGCCATTCTCGGGGGATGGGTAGGGAACGTATTCCTGCGGCACCGTACTCAGGTCGACAACCGTGTTGGTGATACTGTAGGTTCCACGGAAAGCGACCATAATGGTATGATTGGCATCTGGAATGTCATCACTTCCCTCCGCAGGACGCTCGGCACCGTGATCAACAGCGATATAGCCGCAACTGTCGCTCATGAGAACACCGGTATTCCATGCTGTGACAAGAGAGAAGGTAGGGAACTCATCACATCGAGAAATGCAGTTGAACGGCTCGCCGAGACCAGAATTTCCAATGCAGTAGCTTATATCAACGACCCTTGATAGGCGCTCGAGCTCGGAGAAGAGCGTGGGCGATATGATCGGATTTGAGAGCCGCTGTTGTGACACAATATGCCGACCCCCAGAGGGGATATTCAACGAGAGCCCAGCTTTCGCCAACCCAATGAGCGACAGTACCAAAACGCCGAAGCCTTTCAGTGCCATCATTGCGGTTGAGGCGAATCAATTAAAGCCAGTTGAAGTTTCAGTAGGTATTATCATAATGCATGATGGTGTGTTAAGCAGGATGCTGTCCAATTACCGAGAGGCGATTGATGAAATCAAGGAGACGGCCAGACTATCCCTCATGTTTCACACATGACGCACCCAGAATTGGTTGGACGAGCCTTGACGATGAGGTGGTTGGTTGAGAAAGGGTAGTAGTGAGGTCTTGTGGTCATCATTTGTTGGGGTAGAAGCCAACTACGTCTGGGGTGGCGGAGGTATGTGGTCACGGGGTAGGCCGATCAAGAATGCAAGCATCGAGTTCTCTCCATCATCTGTAAAATATCACCACAAATTATGATGAAAGTAATACATGCCCTCTATGACTTCCTATATAATAAAAAAGGAAGCTATCAACGCAAGAACACTACTATGATGAGCTCATATGGCGGATGATGATGTCTGATAAGCGGCAGATAAGAAGAAACTCCACAACCACCTACCTCCTAGAGAAGCATGGGTCCAGCCCAGCGAGAAGTGGACCTACTCCAACCACGCAAAAAAAAATCGCTTACCCTTTGGCACGTGACCCACAAACTGCTGGCGAAAATTCCGCCCTCCCTCCCCACTAGTAATTGGGAAATTTCGAGATTTCTCTTTCCGAATACTGCGACATCACGACTAACCACCCAGCACATCACCAACCCGCCCATCAACCCGACAAGATGGCCAAGGAAGCCCCCGTCAAGACCGGTCTGACCGTTGGTCTGAACCGCGGCCACGTACGTGTCATCGAAGTCTCACCTCGTGGAGGATCTCTGCTGCTCCGCGAGCTCGTCGACGCCCCAACGCAAGCAGAAGATGGACGCTGACATGTATGGTTTGTTACACCTTTATAGAAGACCACCGCTCGCGTTGTGAAGCCCCGTATCTCCCGCAGCAAGGGTCACCTGAGCAAGCGCACCGCTTTCGTCCGCGACGTCGTCAAGGAGGTTGCTGGGTGAGTTTCAATCCCCCTCTCGAAAGATTTCACTTTGCACTGGCTTGGTCGGTTGGAGGCACTGGATGCAGTTGGCAGAAAACGGCCTGGAATCGGTTTTCACGGGTGTCAATACTGCTCCAATGGTCTCACCGAATGGTCGTCGCAATGAAATCTTGCTTCAAGTTGAACCTTCACTAACAGGGATCTCTCTTCTCTCAGCCTTGCCCCCTACGAGCGCCGCGTCATCGAACTCCTCCGCAACAGCAAGGACAAGCGTGCCCGTAAGCTCGCCAAGAAGAGGGTGCGTAATTCGGTTCCGAATATTGTCTGAATGAAGCCGAGGTGAACTAACAATTGGATCAGCTCGGTACCTTCGGCCGTGCCAAGAGAAAGGTCGACGAGCTCCAGCGTGTCATCGCTGAGTCCCGCCGCACAGCTCACTAAGTGCTTGAATCTCGAAAGTGAAAAATTATTTGGGTTTCGCATGGGTTGGCGCGTGGTCATGGTTGACTCGATTCAAAAAGGCTTTTGATACAATTTTGCTGCAGGGCTTGGCTGTGGCTAGGAATAAAATACCAAGCATGACCCACGTCTGAAATTTCTCCAGAATTCAAATGTGTATGATGTTATGATTTCGATCCTGTCTACCAACAACTCATCAATGTGAAACTGCTAAAAGGACAATGACATATTTCCAAGTAAAATCACAACTCAAAGGAGTCCAAAACGCCTACCAATGCCAGTCCCCGATGCTATATTTCAAAGCGGAGGACCCCGTGCCCTTGATTCTATTTCTTTCCCATCTTGAACCATTTCGGTAACTTCTTCTCAAGACTTCCGGGCTCCTTCTCTTCCTTCTTTGCCGTCTGGACTACTGGCTGACCTTTCTCCTCTTCCACCTGGGGTATCTTGGGGACCTGGACAGCTTGCCCTTGCTGCGCAACTGCTTGTTTGAGAAATGGGCGCTTTCGAACGTCAGGTTTCACGCTATCGTCCCAGACAACATTCAGCAGAACACGTCCTGTGAACTTGTAGTTTTTGACCAAAGAATTGGATGGGTTGGTGTTGTCCTTGATGATCTGTTTGCTGCCGGGTAATGACAATCGGAACGGCTGTGAGCTATCTGCCATTACGTGGCGAACAGCCTCGTACAGAAAGCCTCCCGTTGCCGTGGGCCCAACCTCCCATTCGCTACTCGTGTTATCCGGGAAGCGAATCTTGACTAGGACAGATTTGACGGCAGCAATCTTAGCTGCCTCAGCAGCCGCCTTCTCTTCAAGTTCTTTGTCCGAAAGCAGTCTTTTGTTCCTTGAGTGCTCTAGTAAACGTGCCTGGTGTAGCTGTGCATGGGCGATCGTAGGGGTGTAGTCTCCCTCGTTGACTGGCGCTTGTGCAGCTGCAGGAGCTGTGCCGGTAGGAGCGAGAAAGACATGCACAGGTTGCAAGGAATTCTCTGGCACCGACGAGCTGGCTGCCTGTGTGTCACTTTCCGGTGCCCCGGGGGTAGCATTTGTTTCTGCGGATGTTTCGGAGACTTGCGCAGGTTGGTTCTGGGAATTATCGTCCTCCGGCGCACCCTCGGGCTCCGTATTCGTCATCGGTGTATCCTCGCTCGATTCGGGAGGATTCCCTGGAGCTTTATCCTTTCCTGCGGTAGCCTCCGACTCTTGCTCTCCGTCCTCTGCCTCCTTGAAGGCCTTGCTGATGTGCTCCATGGCATCATATAGTGTCTGGTCAGTAGCCCTATAGGAGAGCCGGATGAGGACACTTCCTGAGTTATACCCGAGCTGAGATAGGGTCTTCTGAAATTCGGCGAAGGTCGCATACTCTCGTCCCATGATGTTGAGAACAGGAGTCTCGTAGAAGAGCTGACCACCTCCGCTTGAGGCGCCTCCAACCAATTGAGCAACACCCCGCGCGGTGAAGTTGAGAGTCCGCCCAGCGCTGGCGTCGCCGCTCTCAAACTGCCGTAGTATTTTCCATAGCGACAAGTTGCTGGGAAATTTCTGGATCAAACGGCCGCCTGGTATCTCTTTGCCTTCGGGGTGGGGGACCTGCAGAGCTACTTGGACTGCGGAGGGGGTTTTCGACTTTTGTACAAGCTCGAGCTTCGCGCCGCCGGTTAATCCAGATGTTCGGAATGGTACGGAGAGGTCGACTGTCTTTTGCTTGTGTCTGCGAGTTAGATGGCGGTTAGCTATTTATTGTTTCCTGTGCTTCTAACGAGGGGGGGGAGCCTACTTGACCAGGTATGCGTCGGCGGGGAGGTTCAGTTTCTTACAGGCCTCCTGGAGAACGTCGATGAGGTATGTGCCTGGCGTTACTTTGATCGTCGTGCGCCGGAGGTCCGTAGCAATCACCACCACATGCGAAGCCATTGTGACAAAGTGGATTTGTGATGATGTGGCGGTTGCAGCGAGCTGCCAAGGTACGCAGATGGTGATAGTGCTGTTATAAGTGGCTACCGGGTACTTTGGCTTAGGAAGCGCGGACGTCACAACAGGCAGTAGCACCGTTCGTCATTTAGACCACCTACGCAGGCAAGTGATTTGTAACTGCCGATAGGCAACTGAGTGACATTGAAGTTAAGACACTCAAAAATATCACACTTCTTGTTCTTAAGTCTACGAACCGTAGCATCAAGATTCGACAGGCTGATAACATATACCTAAGAGGTCAAACACTAAATATTATATTTTATATCGTCGTATACTAGGTACTCTTTTAGTTTTGTCATCATAGGGTCTGCTTCTACCACCCTCCAATTTAGTGTCTCATTTCTTTTGTCACCCACTTGCCTATAGCTTCTTCCCTACCTATATTATTGAAATCACTTGGAGCAATCGCTCATTATAAAGACAGCCAGGCCAGGATCGCTGTGGACTTAGGTATCTCATACTATTGAGACCAGCGGTCGGTGGGGACCTGTTCTACCTGCCCTTGTGTACGGCAAGGGATTGCTGCAAGTAAATTCCATTCTCTTGGGCCGTGGTACTATCTCATTTTAATTGAGTTAGAATGATGTACCGTGGAGGGGAATCACACCCAGCCCACTATCCTGCGTGGTTAGTCAGCAAGCCGGCTACGTAACCTAGAGTGCCTCTGCAAGCTGGTGGTACGCACTGCGACTGCCTGTAGCCTTAGCTAAGAGCCAGACCTCCACCAAGCTGCACCACCTCCAGCTATCAAGCTACCCGCCTACCCAACCCAGAACCAACCGAACCCCGTCCATCGGAACACAGACAGCTTTGGTGACAGACGCTGAAGCAATCTACCACGTCTTTATAACCTCAGCCATTCAGCCTGGAAACCAGACGTCTGTTTCCAGTGGACGATACCGCTCTCCATCCACCCTTGCTCGCGCAACCCGCACGCATCAACTAAACCCAACCTCGAATCAGAACCATGGTATGGCAGCATTTGAACATCATCCGCTTCTTCACTCTGGGCCCCGGCTAACATATTGATAGTCTGATCCGTCAAAGATCAGTTAGTAGCTTTACCCCGCGCCAGCTAACCCCCCCAAAGCTCGAGAGCTAACCACCGATGCACCATTACAGATGGCGGTGCCTGCGTCGCCATGGTGGGCAAGGACTGCGTTGCAATTGCCTGCGATCTCCGCCTCGGCATGCAGGCCCTCACCATCTCCAACAACTTCCCCAAGGTGTTCCAGTACGGGGACGTCTTCCTGGGCCTGACCGGCCTGGCCACCGACGTCAACACCGTGAGCGACCTCTTCCGCTACAAGACCAACATGTACCGCCTCCGCGAGGAGCGCCCCATCGCGCCCCGGACCATGGCCAACCTCGTCTCCTCCTCCCTCTACGAGCGCCGGTTCGGCCCCTACTTCGTCTCCCCCGTCGTCGCAGGGCTCGACCCCAAGACGAGCAAGCCCTTCATCTGCGGCTTCGATAGTATCGGCTGCATTGACTTTGCCAAGGACTTCATCGTCTCCGGTACAGCCTCTGACCAGCTGTTTGGTATCTGCGAAGGCCTATGGGAGGCCGATCTGGTATGTTGCGGCTGCAGCCCACCCCTCCTTCTGCTAGCTCCTAACCCTCGGCTCTAGGAACCCGACGACCTCTTCGAAACAATCTCCCAGGCTCTTCTCAACGCCGTCGACCGTGACGCACTGTCTGGTTGGGGTGCACACGTCTACATAATTGAAAAGGACAAGGTCACCAAGCGGTTATTGAAGGGAAGACAAGACTAGAGGCGTTTCAGGCAAGTATTGAATTTAAGATCAGGAATGGGTTGGCTATCACGCTTCGGCCTCGGTCCCTGCATCTTGTACGAGTAAACCGGGTTACCGGGCTAATATCAATGCACGGCACTGGAACGAACCTTATAGAATGAAAAAGAATATAAAGAGCATAAATCTCCTCATGATAAATGGAGACGCAGCTCGATTCCCACCATCAATGCCATTATAGCAGTGACCATAGTCATTTTGATGACAGCCCAGTCCCAATAGCAAGTCCAGGAAGAATCAATAGCAGTATGCGGGGATTGGTCGCTGAATATTATCTTACGTGGAATTATGGCTAGTTGGATGATTTGGAATGGTTTTTCTATTGATCCAGTAGTAACACCTACCCATGCTCCAAGACCGAAGCCATCAGTGTATAAAGCCACCCCCTTCGCCTTGATTGCTTCTCCTTGTAGATTGATGTACATGCAAATGCTTTCTTCTACCGTCTAATATGACCATTTCACTTGGAACGCACGAACCCAGTTCATGCGTGTGAGTGAGCAGGCCGAGCTCGCCGATGACCTATTATCCCATCTAGTTACATGACGTCCCGCCATGATTAAGGGGGTCGCAATCCGAATGTTGCTTTAAAAGTCTTGTCTTCTAACGTCTTTCGCTCTTCCTAGCCGTCTATTGCTCCTTCTTGGCCTTGACGTCGTCGACGACGATCTTTTGCATGAAGAACTGTCGCTCGATAAACTTGAGCACCTCATCCAGAAGACTAAGAAAAGTAACAGTTAGTACAGTGAACGTTTGTATCGAGAAGGCTTGAGAATATGAGACTTACATGACAGGTGCGCTGATATAAACAACTGCCTTCCATTCCGTCACATTAAGAGGCAGAATCTGGAAAAGGGTCTGTAGAACTGGTGTGTAGAGAAGGGCAAAGTGGAGGGCCATGGACAGAGCGATAGCGTACACAAGCATCATGTTCTTCCACAAAGGCAGGCTGAGGAGTGACTCGCTGGAGGACAGGGCGTTCATGGCGTTAAACATCTCAATGACGACGAGGATAGACAAGGACACGGTGGAAGCAGACTTGGCCATGTCGTTGCTGAACATCTCACAGCCAATCTCGGGGAAGTCAGCCGAGCAGTGGTGGAATCGGGACAGGTGCTGGAAGGAGATCTGGGGTCCATCGGGGTTGTACATGAACCACCAAGCATATCCAGCGACAGTAGCCAGACCAACATAGGTACCGATGACAAGGTAGCGGATGAAAAGCCACCCGCCAATCAGGACTTCGTCTCTCTTGCGAGGCTGGCGCTTCATGATGTCATGGTCTGGGGGGTTGAAGGAGAGAGCGGTGGCAGGAAGACCATCGGTGACAAGGTTGACCCAGAGGAGCTGGACGGGGATAAGGGCCTCGGGCATACCAAGGGCGGCAGTGAGGAAGATAGAAACAACCTCGCCAATGTTGGAAGAAATGAGGTAGCGGATGAATTGCTGGGTGTTGTTGTAGATAGAACGACCTTCCTCAATAGCAACCTCAATGGTGGCAAAATTGCTGTCTGTCAGGACCATGTCGGCAGCCAGCTTAGACACATCAGTTCCAGAACCCATGGCAACACCAATATCGGCCTTCTTGAGGGCAGGGGCGTCGTTGACACCGTCACCGGTCATGGCAACAACCTCTCCCATGGACTGGAGCAAATCAACAAGCTTGGACTTGTGGCCAGGCTCGACACGAGAAAACAAAGAAGCATTCTTGGCGGCTTCAAGTTGCTGGCTGGGGCTGAGGTTATCAAATTCACGTCCAGTATAGCTCTTGCCCTTGAGGTCTTCATGCTGAGTGAAAACACCAATCTGTCGGCAGATGCTCTCTGCTGTGTTTCGGTTGTCTCCAGTGATGACAATAACCCTGATACCGGCTTCCTTGCATTGGCGAATAGAGCGGGGGACCTCCTCTCTGGGGGGGTCAAGCATACCGACCAAACCAATAAGAGTCATGTTCTGCTCGAGCTGAAGATACTGCTCAGTTGTCTTGGCTGTCTTCGTAAGGGGATTCTTGGAGGCGTCGTCAACAGAGGCGAGAGCAATTACGCGTAGACCACGGTTGCCATACTCGACAACCTCCCTCAAAAGAGTCTCTGAGAGCTTCTTGTTGATAGCAACCTTCTTACCATGGGCACCAAGCACAACATGAGAACAGCGGTCAATGATGGATTCAGGGGCACCCTTGACAAGGAGCCTCTGCTGCTTGCCATCCTTGACAAGCACAGACATGCTCTTGCGGTCTCGCGAGAACTCATAAGTGGAAATTCGAGGCAAGCGCTTCTCATAGGTAGAGTTGGCGTAGTGGACACAATCATCAGGGTGGGTGCTAGAGGGAGCACAGGGCCCAAGCTTCTCGACCAGAACCCTGAGGGCACCCTCAGTTGCCTCACCAACGTTGGAAAATGCGCCAGTGCGAGAATCATAAGCGAGCCTAGCATCGTTACAAACAGCAGCGACCTCAGCAATCTGACGGACAGTCTCAGAGCTTTCAGTGATGCCTTCGACCGCCTTGCCATTGGACTTGATAGCTCCCTTTGGTGCGAAAGTGGTGCCCTCCACATCGAGCTCCACCAGATCAGAACCAGTTTCATTGAGGTATACAACTTTGTTGACACTCATCTGGTTGGTGGTGAGTGTGCCAGTCTTGTCAGAGCAGATGACGCTGCAGCTTCCGAGTGTCTCCACGGAGGGAAGGCTACGGACGACGGCATTCTTGGCAGCCATCTTGCGAGTACCCAGAGCCAGACAAGTGGTGATGACGACAGCAAGGCCTTCGGGGATGGCCGCGACTCCGAGAGAGACGGCAATCTTGAGGTAGTAGATGGCGCCCTTGGCCCAGGAGCCGTGGCTTGGGTCGTTGAAGTTGGGAATGTTGATCAGCCATACGAGAATGCAAATGACGGTGATAACCTTGGCAAGCTTGTCGCCAAAGTCATTCAGCTTCTGCTTGAGTGGGGTGGGCTCTGAGATTTGAGCAGTGATGCTCTCGTGAATGTCACCGATGGCAGTGTTAGGACCTGTAAGAACGACGACAGCCTTGGCGCGACCCGTAACAACCGTGGTACCAGAGAAGAGCATGTTAACTTGGTCCTGCAGGACGGCTTTGGAGTCCTTAACAACCGCAGAGTGATCCTTGCCAACACTTTCACTTTCTCCGGTAAGAATAGCCTGGTCAACGGAAAAGCTATTACTCTCGATAGCGATGACTCGGCAATCCGCAGGAATACGATTTCCCACGGCAACGGTGACAACATCACCAGGAACCAGCTCGTCGGCCTTTACTCGGGAAACGTGTCCACCATTGCGAATTACGTTGGCCTCGTTGGCCGAGTATTCTTGGAGGGCAGCAATAGCCTTCTCAGCACTGCTTTCTTGAGAGACTCCGACGACGGCGTTGAGAATAAGAATGGTAAGAATCTAGTGTCGTGGGACAAGATATCAGTATTAAACTAGGCGCATTTACGATCGGTCTGGGCAAGGCAACTCACCACCGCAGGATCGACGAAGGCGCTCCAGCCACCCTCGTCTTCGAGGAGAGCAAGAACAAATGATACGGCAGCTGATCCGAGCAGAATGATGACGAGTTGATCCTTGAATTGTTCGAGAATGAGTTCCCAAATCGGGGTGGGGGGTTCCTCTGGAATGGCTGTACAACACACAAGGCATCAGCATAAAGTCGGGAGACGCACAAGACACATTGCATGTGGCCGGGCGACAACAGGTCTAGACTCACAATTGCTGCCATGCTTGTTCCGAGATTCGCTGACCTGGCTGTCTGTCAAACCAGCGTCAGGGTCAACCCTGAACTCGTGCAGCACGTCCTTAATTGGACGGGCAAAGGCGCTCTCCATCTTGCGACGATGGTGGAATGAAGAGGCAGCAGGGCTGGAGAGTTGAGCGATGCGCCGGAGATTACTCGGGTAGGGACTGGCTGGAAGGGATACCGAAATGACTGGCTTCTGGAAGGGCTGCTCAGTGGCTCGGCATGGCGAGGCTCGAAATATTCGTCAGAACCAAAAGACCTTGCGTGATCAAGAGAAGTTCAGCCCGCTTGTACGAGTAATGAAATAATTCCTCCCAGGATGGGCGCCTTGGGAACTGCTTACCTGTACGGAGGATGGCTGCCGGAAGCCGAAACCTCAACGTGTTCAGTTGGTCCTTTTTTTTCCACGCAGGCCTATGGGGGGCCTGCCGACTGAGATTAGTGGCCTGGGCGCGCCTAATCGGCGCTGACTCTCTGGGCATCTCCAGCGCCCCACGATAAAGTTGGGGCGCTAAACTCCTCCTGCGATGGAGGACAGGTATCTTTGCCTTACTGGGCGGTCGGTAAGGCAAGGTACGCGTGGACGAGGGCACCCCCGCCAAGTCTGCAAGTACATGCCACTCATACTCGATGTTCGAAGGCCGATTTGAGGGCCGACAAGATCGCAGCTGAGTGGCAGCTTTTGATTTTAACAGGGTTCGTTTCCTGCCTCTTGGGGAGTAGCGAGTCGGTGCGCACTAATATGAGGCCTCTCGAGTCTGAACCAGGCCGGCAGCTAGGCTCAGACGAGTAGCCAGTACCGATGGGATTCTAAGTAATGCACCTATCAACCGCTCGGCGGGACTAAGGGACTGGAAGGGAACTTTATTTGTAATACTGCGGGCTGCTTTTCACCCGTCCTTGCCATCAATCTAAAATAGTTGAGGACAACACCACAAACTGCTTTTGGAGTGTCTTGGTAATGCTTGAAGATACTTCCCCGCTGGTGACCTCGCTATCAGAATCAGCATATTCCCACTTACCCTACACCGTCTGTCCCCGGTGCTACGTCATTAAACACCGATCGACCGCCTTGTTCATGTACGAAGGGTTACAGCTTACAGATCCATGCTACCTCCACTCCATGTCGGCATCTGTTTCTGGGAATTTCGGGGTTTTGTGCTTGGCTGAACCTTGCCGTAGGTCGGCCGCTTTCCCAAAGCCTCTACTAGGTGCTAGTTTGCAATAGCCAGCGGTCTACGCAGCCTCGTGTGCAGACAGACCACATGACGGGAGTGACAGGGAGGGCGTGTTGACACGAACCCTGGCTATTTCATTTTGTTGCTTTTCAAGCGACTGACGTAAAACATGGCACGTCTAGCTAGGTAGACACTTCAGCGTTGAATTTCAACATAAAATCAAAGAATACCCTACTAATAAATACGATATCAAGCTAAAGATCGTAGAATAAGTTATTACTCTCTTAGTATTGTGCTTAGTTAAAAACGAGGTCCGTGCCTTGCGCGAAAAGAGCTTTGGTGTGCCATGCTTCATTTCACCCACTTGCTTTTATACTCTTCCCACGCCCAACTAGCTACCACGTCGCGGAATCGTGCTGATCGATTGGTAGATACAGATACCTAGGCATTGACTTATGGCTCTACAGGGCATAACATGGGTGGACACACAAAGCCTATTTCCCCAGGTCGGATATGAGGTCGCAAGCCTTCTTTCCTACCCCGGCAACCTGGATTGATGGCTTGCTCGTCTTCGGAGTTTACAGCTCCCATCTGACAATCCTGTCTGCAGACCGATGCACTATGCGCCGTTTCAGGATGTCCATTGGCCAACCAGCTAGGCCTCGGTGTGGTTTCCGAATCTGCCACACAGATAACCGTCGTGTCCTAGACAACCTCTGCAAGCCGTAAGCCATCTGACATAAAACCAACGGATACAGAGTCGGAGATGCCCATTGATATTAGGCACCCACAATTCCAAAATCTATGCGTCTCGACCTAAGGCTTGCATGAGGCAACCCCGCAGTTCAATGGCGGAAGCTTCAACTTAAGCCTCCATCATGCAGTGCGGACGCGCTTGCCCCTCACTTGGATCGTCTGGTAGCGGCTTTGATCGCGGAACCTTTTGGTCGAGATGGTTGCCATGAGCTGCCAATGCCCCGATCGCTCCTTCGCCGAATGAGAGTTGCCACAAGCACAATGTCGATCTGCAAGCCATAAAGTTTCCAATTTGATCTGGTCCCGTTCCGGATCAGCTGGATTTCATCATCATGGTAGGACAACTGCTCCAAGAGAATAAGACCTTGCCCTTCTCCTAGACCCGTAGTCAGTTATCTCAGTTTCTCCTCACCCTGCCCTCACCTCACCTTAAGTGAACATGTTCGTCTCTGCACCAATCTAGCCCACAGTCTCTTCATAGCTCATCCAGCTTTATCTTTTCTTTACATTCTCATGTTTACCACTACACCACACTGGAACCTTGATCCAGAGCTCGACTCTTCCTTCACTTTCTTTCAACATAACTCTTGAGACTTACTATTTGTTTTGGTGCCCTCGTCTCCGTGTTACGCGTTCCGTGTTGTGCGACTTGGGGATTCCGGCACCTGAAAGAGCTAAAGAGGCAATGATTCTCGCATGAGATCCGACAAGGTTGAAGCTATGTTGTAAGTAGGTGAGCTTCATTCGTCCCCCAGTCATACCCGGTTACGGCTTTCGCGGGTTGTAGCTGTAAGAGAAGCCATATCCCTTCACACAGAGCCCGAGAGGCAATCGCCCGTTGCTCTCCTGGTCGAATTGCGTTTGCCCTCCTCTGCCACCCGCTTGTCGCTGCTTCCTCCTCTCCATACAGGCTGTGCCGTGCTGCCTGCCTCCTGTAAGCTACACCCAGACTCTCCTGCCCCATCTTGAGATAAAACATTTGTCTAAGATCCCAGGATCGTGTTATAAATGCCTTTCTCCACTTGCCTCACATCGCCATGTTATGATCCCGTACGGTCGTCGGGTCAACTTTTTTGGCACTTTTGGTGGCTTTGGGCCAATTTTGGAATCCTCGTCTCCCTGAGATTTTTTGTCTCGCTCGTTTTGGACCTTTTCGTGTTCAGCATGGCTCTCGTCGATTCGTCATCTTACACCCATCATAGAGCATTTCTTAGTTCTCGGCAATCCAGCTTCTTGGGCCCCAGCATCCCGGAGTCGGTGAAGGCTTCAGATCCCAAACCAGGCCACCTTATTCCATGTTCAGATTCAGATATTATCGCATCCTCTTTTTCTCTCGCCAGTTTCGACCCTCTCTTAGTGGCACTTGGGGACAATCCTTCGAGAGAAGCATCCTATCCCCCGCCTCAGGCAGCCTCCAGCAATCCCGCTGGCTTGGAGCAACCGACCACTCAACCACCAATTCCCTCCTTCGACTATAAACCCCAGAGAAAGGCACCTTTCCAGAAATGGATGCAATCCCTCCGCCGGAAAGCAGTGCGATTGCAGTCTGTGCCCGTTCTCGACAATACCAGCCAACAGGGCCTCACACCATATGATACTCAGGAGAAATTATCTCTGCGAAGCCTTGGTCATCGGGCGTCTTCTTCAGGATCGTCCTTTCATTTTGTCTCGGCTATCCGGAGTGCTAGTGTCAGCCTTGCCAGTGCAAGTATAGTGACGCGACCCAGGAGGAATACAGCACGATCGTTTCGTCTTTCGAAAACAGACAGGAGCAGCAGAGGCTCGATATCTGGACCGAGACTGTCCGAGGATAGCATTGGTCCGGAGAGAACATTAGTCCTCGACGCTGCTATGGTTGGGCGCTCGCTTCAGCGTCGGCGCATATTAGAGGAACTTATAAACACCGAAGAATGCTATATTGGCGATATTCGATTTCTGAAAAATGTGAGACGTCCCATTTCCCCGAGAAATCACTTTCTGCTAACTTAATATCAGGTATATGTCACGATTCTCGCCTCTTTACCAACTCTACAAGGTGGCCTTCGCGCCTCAATCAATCGGAACCTGGCAGAGATAATTGAGCTTCATGAGGAAATACTTGGAGAACTTCATCGCGTTGTACCACTTTCAGAGTACACCCAGACTGAAGCTAGCGTATCGCTAAGCCAGATGCCAACGCACCCGGCTCACAGGCGGTGGAGGAGTCTCGATGCAGTCCCTAAGCATGACAAAAGCGGCCCGTTGCTTCAAGCATCCCCTGGAATGGACACTGAGCCACAAATTGCTGCAGAGGTGGCAAGGATATTTACAAGAAGGGTAAGTAATTCATCCATCGTCCCACTAGGCAGCCACCTCTGTGTTAGAGTATGGTCCTGGGATAATCTTGTTAATATCTTCAGGTGAATCGTTTCTTCATATATAAGGAATATGGTGCGAAATACGAGATGATGGTCAAAGACGTTGCTTCGGCCCCCCAGGCTATGCCTGAGTGGGATACATACCAACGAGGTTTGGAGGCTCTAGCATCGACCTTGGGGTCAGCTAAGCATCTGCTTGACACAACACGAAAATCTCTGACTCTCAATGATCTTCTTGTAAAGGCAAGTTCTTACCAGCTCCTGCTCATGATGATCCAGGGTTGTTAATAGATTCACGTAGCCAGTACAGAGGATTTGCAAATACCCCCTTCTATTTGCCGAACTTCTCAAATATACACCTGTATTTGACTGCCCAAATTCCTATATGGAAATTGAAAGTGCCCTTTCTAGGCTACGGGAGGCGACAGCTGAGATCAACAAGGCGACTGACGATGCCGAAGTCAAGACCACCCTCGAAAAGACTTGGCTCTTGCAAGATCGGCTTGTTTTCCCCCATAGAGTATGTTTTCATCTTCGACCCATACGATTTCTACACAACACTAATACCTTATTAAGAACTTGGATGCCGCAACCAGAAACCAAATACGTACATTTGGGCGTATCGAGCTGTGTGGCGTCTTGCATGTGTGCTGGCAAACGACAGACGGGGTTGAGGGAAAGTACCTGATCTGTCTTCTCTACCGGAATGTAATGTGTCTAGCTACGGCCGGTAGAGCCGATCCATACTACACAATCGTGGCTAGCGTTAATCTTCATGCCTCGAGAATTGAAGAAGTCGATAATGGAAGAGGTGAGTGTTGTCCTTTCGTCACCGAAGCGGTAATCCCAACTAAGAGAGAAACAGGACTACAATGCCATACGGCCCCTTTCTCCTGGAAACTTGTCTTTGAGTGCAACCAACAGCTATATGAAATGATCCTGACCGCGTGTTCTCCCAAGGAGGAGTCAGAGTGGCGCTCACGATTATCACAGCCGAGGAAAGATGAGCAGGAAATGAGAGATGCAACGACGTTCAGCTCACTGGAGCTTAATATTAAAAGCCTGGGTACTGTATTTGGAAAACCAGGTAGGTTTCTAGGGCGCTTACTTTGCGTTCCAAACTGTGGCTAATCAATGTTTCCAGGAACTGTGGCTCGGCGCCTTTCAATTCACCGAGCAACTACTGTAGGAGCCAAGTCTCCCCTCTGTCAAGTAATTCTCAAAAACACAACCGTCTTGAAAGATGGAACGAATCATAGCTCCTCTTCAACGGCTATCAATCGTTCACAGTCTCTGTTATGCACAAACACAACCTCGAGACTGCCTGTCCTTGCTCCCGCCCGAGCGGAGAGAGCTCGGCTTGAAGCTCAACTGGGGGATGTATGGAGCCGAGGGATTCTGCCATTTCCCGGTATGGCCAATAGGTCTCGAAGTGACCACTTGGTAAGGGCCTCATCGGTCATGAAGAAATTGAGTGTTGCCAGCCTGGCGAGCTCCTTTGGCAAGAGATCCGGTAGCTTGGGCCAGAGATCAATTTCTCTCACAGACCCAGCTGATGGAGAACCTTGCAAATTGGAGGATAACCAAGGCCTCGAAGCTGTTCCGGTGATCAAGGAGGACTTGATAGACTCGGACGCATTGAAGGTGGGAAATCAGCACCAGGTACGCAGCCCAAAATTGCCTCCTTTTGATAAACCCATTCCGAAGGTAGAGATCGAGAATACTCTCGACATAGCGAGCGCTTTTCACCCGGAGCCGTTAGTCATAGGATCTATTTTCAGGCCGACCGATGAAAAGGACTTCGCATCGCCTGCTCCACGAAAGGCTTCGGCCAACAGTGGACACTTGGCTCGGTCTTACACAGCTGGGAGCTCACCAAGCTGTACTCTGGTCAAGGAAAATAATTGCAAAGGGCCAGATGACAAGAGCAAGACCTCTCGTCGATGGGCAAAGGTGGGAATTGCCAGAACTGATGGGAAGGGACATGTGTTTCGTAACCTCTTCCGATGAAGGGCATGTATGCATGGGATATTGGTACAGTTATTGTTCATCTACATTTCGCAGAAGCTTGGAGAGGAACATTGGGTATTGAGACAGTCCGCATCAGGAGTGCGACATGCTGTCATAGGAAGGCGGGCATAGTTCTGGCCGTCTGCTCAGCCTTACTTTGACGACCTCAGGATGAGTACCATAAGCTAGGGATGCTTTATCCATATTCTGTATACCAACTCCATCCCTTGTAATATACATTTCCCTGGGCTGGACCCGATCAAGTCAACGACTCGGGTTGACTTGATCCTCACTCATTAGGTACTTAGCTTAGATAGCTTATATTATCACCTGTAAGAGTTGACGATGTCCTCATTATGCATTCATTTCTGTGGCCCTGCTAGCCTAAAGAAACAATACATAAGAAATTGCATCCTTGAGGTTGAATTCTCCGCCCCGCCATTACCTTGTGCATCTGCCTCACCATGGGGGTCTACATGCCTATACTTTGGTGACGTAAGAAGCCCATGTTGTCAAAGTCAGAGCTGCAGGCGTATCAACTAATCCGCCAGCCAGCCCCCCGAAATTGGCGTCTGGGCAGTGAGACGGTGCACGAAGCATGAGCTCCCGTGCCTTGATCAGCGCTTTCCTTCGTCATTGAATCAGGTACGTTGGTTCAAGTGGGGACTGCGGCGGTACAGGGAAGTATCCCGTGCGTTGTGCCTAATTATGCGTCGGAATGACGTCGACCATTGAGCTTGGAGCTCCTGCTTCCCCAGTCTGTGCCCCACCTGCCAATTGTCACCACAGCGCCGGCCACAGCAGAGAGCATTGCTCCCATAGTCGCTCTTGCCTCATAGATGGAAACTTCGTAGGTACACGAGGAAGGTACCTTTTAGAGTGGCCTTTAAAAGCTTGTTCCCCCTCACCTTCAATCTCGTGCTTTTCTTTCCCTTCATCATTCACACTTCACACACAAACCACCACGAGATTACACTCCATTACCACACTCCACTTACACCAGAACTTCCACCACACCTAGTCACGCGACACCAAATTAATTCATCATGACTCGAGGCGGCGCCCCCAAGAGCAAGATCCACTACAAGGGACAGCACGACGACTACATCGTCTTCCTCGACGATACCGAGACCTACCAGAAGTGGTTGAACGACAAGTCCATTCCCTTTGTTCAGTTCGTCTCCCCCATCCAGGTCTACTGCACACACAAGTAAGTTCCAAAAAGCTCGCTCTGTCTGCCGGTTCACAAGGCTAACGCACACCGAACAGGCAAGGCGCTCAGGGAACATTTGATGCCGCCGCAAAGAACCTGCTCTCTTCAGAGTTCGTCAAGGAGGACGGCTCAAGTTACAAGGACAGCGAGGTCGAGGACGAGGCCATCAAGGTCATCCTGACCAAGGGCAACCTTCAGACGTCTGACGTAAGTTCCATGCATATTCATCGACAAGAAATGGATTCCGGACATGTACTAATCCCAAGGCACAGATGCCCGAACGACAAGGAGTCACCAACGACTCCAAGAGCTCCATGCGAGTCCACTAATTAATGAGGCCAAGATCGAAACGGAGCATGAGAGTCAAATGAGTGATGGGCGATTGCGTGGAGTAAGCTTACGTGGAATTTGGCCTCCGCATGTATTTGGGGCATAATGGTTGGTAACAAACCAAGCAAGAGGAACCAAGTCGCAGAAATGGCACCAAGAGGTACTCGAGGAAGTCCCACGGGGCGCCAATTCCAAACCTCGAACGATTGATATCGTATTAGCTCTTAGACATACGCTCAACTCTCAGCTCTTTAATGAAATTCAAGAAATGAATACAAACATCCGGCTGATTTTCATCTCAATGTGCAATTGCTCAGGGTGTAATCTTTGCTACCGATGTGTTTGGTGGGTTCCTGTGACGTCAAAGATTCATCATCTCAGCTTTCAATCATTCCACCCGAGCACACATAATCTTATCGTGATAACGGAGAGGATCCACTTAAAGCAGTGCGGATGATGGGATTAATGAGCGGCTCTGAAAGATATATGTATCACAGTTTGTTATTAAGTACGGGGTATCATCTCTAAGAAAAGCCTATATATGTAGGTCGGCTGTAATGGCCGTCATGTGTCAAACTTTGACATCAATGCGTGCCAGGATACCGCTCTCCGTTGTCCAGGGAGTTGTCCAGGGAAGCTCCAGTCCCAGGAAACCAAGCCATAAATGCAAGTAAGTAAATGGTATACAACTCAAATCAAAACGCCAGATGGTATGTTTTGGCCCCCGTGAATTAGAAAAATCAATGATGCGCCAGGGAAATGAACCTTCATTTCATGGATGAGATCTCCGCTCTCCAATATCTTTAGTCATGACTCGAAGCTCCGTTGTCGTAATATGTATAGTCGTCGGGAATATGTGCAGTATGTGTGTATGTGTGTGTATGTGCATTTTTATTTTTATTTTTGGGATTTTTTTTTGTTGATTGATGGGATTATTTACCATCAAGGTACCCAGCCCTCACACCTTGACGGCAAAGTCTCGGCCGCGTTGGGGCAGGGTCCAGGGCTGCGCGCAGATGATCTCGCCCTCGCTGTAGGCGATGAAGTACATGACCAGGCCGACGATGTAGTAGAGCGCCGAGTTGGTACCCTGGTAGATGAGGGCGGAGGCCAGGGCGAGGAGGGGGATGGCGATGAGGCGGAGCTCGAGGGAGCGGTGGAAGGTAGATCCCGCGAGGAAGCCGAGCGGCCACTCGAGGCCGAGCATGGCGATGCCCAGCACGAGGTTGATGATCTGGAGGGAGGGGAACGGCTTGACCGCGCCGTCGAGGTTGGTGGTGAGGAAGTCCCAGAAGATCTTGGGCCAGAAGAAGCCGTGGACTGCGGCGGCTACTTGGTCTAGGTGGTGGGTTAGCATTGTTCGTGAAGTTCAATTTAATTTGTTTTAGGGATGTTGCTTACAGGTTGCGGCAGCGAGGATGACAAGGCGTGCCAGATGGTTCTTGATCAATTTCCCCATGGCGAAGATGAGAATGTGATGAGACTCGAACTGGTCAAATATTGTCCCGAGAAGTTGAGAGAAACGGACGTTTAGGTCGGTTGAGGAGACGGATGTTTACTGGAACGACAGCCCGCCAGGGATGTCGTCGTCGTCGTCTTCTCACGTAGGTGGGCGAGGGATCAAGTCCGTGGAAGGCTTCAAAGAGGAGTCACATATGACCCAGATTGCTCTTCTTGTTGGAATTAAGGTTGTATGTTGGCAAAGCCAAAGCCGCGATAAGGGTTCAAGTGGATAGTGATCACCGGGTTTAGGTAGGAATGGGAAGGGGATTTGGGAATGGAGATGGGTGGGAGGACGGGAGGTATAAAGGTTGCGAACCAACAGACAACCACCATCCCTACACGTACATGAAGAGTGCAGTAGCGGCCCTGATTCGGACCCAGCTTGGCGGCACCAGTGCTGGCAACGAGAACGGTCGGCCGGCCGCGAATTGGTGCAAGCAAGCAAGCGCCGACTCAACTCATCTCTGCAAGCGCTGTGGAACTCAAGGCCCGCAGGAGATACCATGTGAGTGAGGAGAGGGACCCTGCCAAAGGTCTGCAGCGCTCCACAGCGACGACTGCATAATGGGGCCATGTGGTGGCCAAACGACGGTCTTTACGGCGGCCCATATGCGAGAGCTCTGTGGCTCGGCCATCGTGCAGCAGGTCCGGAGAATAGTGCTGCGTGATGGCTGCGCGTCGAGTTGAGGAAGTGTGCTGAGGGCTGGTGATTGGCGGGAGGCGGGCGGTTAGGGAAGGAGCCGTGGGCCAATAGGGCGTCGGTAGCTGCGGCTTGGCACAGATCCGACAGGGGTGTCGGCGCCTAAGTGCATGAAAAATACATGCGAGAAAGAGCTACCGATTGTATCTCTGTGCAAGCTATGCGTGCGGGGATACTTTGACGACGGGTGGTCACATGTACCTCCAACTTTTACCTTCCTTAGCCCCCGGCAGCTACCCCACCCACCACACCACAGACATACGAGGTAGGTGCTACCCAAGTCCAACCACCCACAGCAATTGCAGAGGTCAGAAGGGTGATGTGGTTGCTGGATTGACTTCTCCCCCGTCGCCCCCAACCTTCTCGAGCCAGGTCTTGTTTGGACGCGGCCGGAAGGCACCGACTGCGTTGAGCGGTTTCCCAAGTAGGACCCGTCTCGAGCGATTAGCCCACATTCGCTGGCGGCTAGGGTTCATGGCATGATCCCGCTCGTCTGAGCTCTGTATCACCAGGACCAGTCCTTCTATGCCCGACACGCACTGAGGCTCTGTTTTGCCTATTTTTAAAGATCTATATAAAGATATGGATATAATCGCCAGTCATATCGTTCTCGTGGCTCAAAAAGAAAGCAAAAGCCACATGTGCGTGTAATGCAGAACGACTCGTCCACTCGCCGGCATTGGGGCAACATCGTCGGCCGTTGCCACGCCCCCATAGCAGTTAGAGCTTGCAAAAGCCGATGGGAAAAGCGGAGAATGACCAGGTGCGGGCCAAGTTCCCAGGGGCCCTGGACTCATTCGCTTGCATGCGATGTGGGTGAGGTTTAATGGACTGCAGAGCGGTGTATCCAGTGTGATGTGACTCCACGTGCAGCTCAGACTCTCGTTATCTTTGTCCACAGAAAGACCAATAGCCGCCAGAGCCTCAAGCTACTGAGGCCCCAAGAAGCCTGGTTGGAAATACCAGTGGCATGGGACAACTTAATCTCGTGCAGAATTAGCTGATTGTCTGCCAAGTGCCAAATCGCGTGATATTATTGGCAGGGCGTGAGGTGAAGTCACACACGATGAACCAATAAAAATAAACATCAGCCCAGTTCTTAAAGCACCTTTACAGTCTGTGCTATTCTGACGCCCACTTAATAAAGACTACTAAAATTGCTGTACGGTTAAACCATTGATGGGTAGGTCTGCAACTGCTTGGGGCGGGTTAAAATTGCTGTGTATCTGAAGCAGGGCCCCCCCACTCATATCAAGCCTACGTAGAATTGGGAATCTTAAAGAGAATGGTACCCATCCCAACAGTGGCATTTTCAAACGCACGCACTCAGATGAGCCATACACCATCTCATATTTCCTATTACTATATCCCTAAATTGCTACACAATCATACCATAATAACAAGCCTGCCAGTGACAGAAGCAATGGTTCCGGGGTAGCTTCTCTAATGAAACAAGTAGCATCCATTTTCACACAGCGAGGTGAATAATACTAAATCTCATTGATGTGCCTCGCCATGTTGCCCACTATCACATATAGACCCAGTTAAACTTATCATTCTTAGGAAACCTTTCCATCTCGAGTTTTGTAGAAAAGACGTAGAAGCAGTTATAGGATGTCTCGGGGTACACCAGGGGTTGCACCCAGCAAGGACCAACCTTGAAATCTAGCCGCCGAGATCAGGCACATGCAGGCTAAGACAAGGCTTGATGGTGCCATCAAGCTAGCGGCTGAGGGCCATCAGTGAAGAAGGCTAGGACTCGGTTCCCATCTTGCTGCCCAAGACAATCACGACCAGCAATCTCTCGTCGACCCTCGGGATCAAAGGCTGCGGCCGCTAGGTTTGGAAACCCTGTCGATATAGTCATGAGAGTGTCTGTCTGCCGTTTGAGCAAAGGCCGGGTGTCTCCACCGCCAACACATTGCTGTAGCAAGTACTGGATCGATACCACTCTCTTGCGTTGTCTACTCTGCCGTGCTGACTCTGAACTCTTCTTCCTCAATTGCTCAACACGAGATGGGAAGTCCATGGCAGACGATATTGGTATAATAGGGACGTCTGCCCAGCCATGTATTCTATCTTATATCAGCCCTCTACGCTATATTATCAAGACAGGGTGTCGAGCTCACTGGACTTGGAGACGCATGAAAGCAGCCATGGCGTCCCCTCCCTTGAGAAGTAGAATGATCGCAACATTCTGACCTCCGTTCAAGTTGCAGAGTCTTTCAATCTTTTCCTTTGTTTCAAGGGTATTGATCTCATCTGTAGCTAGAAGGATTGATAGAAATCTCACACCCCGTTGCTGACCTGCCCTGGGCTCAACTGGGAAGGCAATATCATGGCCTTGAAGCCGGTCCTCTGGGCCAGTTTAGGTCGTCTCAAACCACAGACCATGCGGGAACGGTAACCTACCTCTCCATCTCACTGGGCCAATGTTGGCAAAACGAGAGAGAGCGGGCGCCCAATCGCTCCTTCGTCGGAGCGATGAGCAGAACGTAGCCATCAGGTTGTCGACAACCAGACACAAAGGCTTACTTGAAGAATTGGAAGAAGGCCACCCCCAAATCTAGTCAGAAGCGGATGAGATACTGGTACAGATAGGGTAGTCTTTATCATGAAGATGATGTTTCTATTCAATGTTGTGTGTCGGTATAAGTGGGGAGGTTCGGGCGTTGGTAGCTCTTTCTCTGGCCATCTGCATCGGAAATTCCAAGTGGAAGGAACAGACAAAGAAAGCCCAACAGCCCCAAATTAGAACAAAAGAAATCCCGTAAATCGGTGCCGACCCGAGCAGCTAAGGAGTTTAAAGTCCCTACCTGAGATGGGTTGGGTTGGTCAGTCTAGTAATGTACAAGTCAAGTCTATCGCTTCCTGAACGCCGTTCCTTGAATCAAGTCCCCCGCCATGATACATATTCGTTCCCACCCACCGCACACATATTTATACTCATCCTTTCGAAATAAACAAGGCATCAAGGTCATGTACGCGCACATTCTGGCCGTTCAAGCACTCTGGAGCGCTGGTAACAAGGGTTGCTTAGTCTTGGGGTCCTTCAGAGCTCGGAGTGCTTCTTCGAGTGAATCCTGTCTTTGTCGTTGCCTCTCCTCGGCAGCCTCAAGCTCGGCCTCTCTCTTTTCCAACTTGTCGAACCTCTCGTTCAGCTCTTCTATCCTCTCTTTGTTGGCGTCCGGCTTGGATGAGCTCTTCCAAAACTCATACACGATCAAACCACCTGCAACGGCCAGAATGAAGGCGTCCCCCACGACGTCGGCAAACAAATCGACGGCCTTGGCCTCGGGCAGCGGACGGAATTTTCGGGTCCAAATGTTCTGAAAGGGAATCCTAGTGGTCTTCTTCGCAGCAGCAGCCGGGTCCGTCTTCGCCTTCTCTTTCCGCTCCTCGTCGCGCTTAGTCTGCTCCTCGGTCTTGACAGTCGGAGCTTCGGCTTTCTCTTTGGCTCGCCGTTCTGCTTCGGGGTTTCTGAGGAGGGCAACGGACATTCTCATATTCAATTGGTGTATTGACTGGCCATACTTGGCAGCGAAGGCGCGGAACCGAGGGTGATCGTGTGCTTGAGCTTTGATATTGTTCTAATTGGCGGCGCAGATGTTAGTCATTCCGTGCTCGGTGCCGTCAATGGGGATGCCCGGTACTCACGGCGCCATATTTGGATACGTGACGAACGAACAAGGCCGCAAGCTTGAAGAGGGGTAGGGGCACCATGACGACGGGAATTGGAGGTTCAGATGCTTGTGAATGTGATGGCCCAACCCACGAATGCCAAGCTCCTGATATCGCCGGCATTTCGGACGGCGCCCATCAATTTGTCATTCGCGAAGCCTGGTTGGTGGGGCTTGCGAGTGGGGCTGACTTGAAGAGCTCCGTGTCATGCGGGTGACAGAAAACGCGGCACATCAAGACGCCGACCGGTAGTTTCGATACCATGTCAAGACAAATAACACAGTAAATAGCAAACGTCAAGAGAAAATGAAGTTTATATGTTGATCCTTTTGCTCATTCTCTTGATCATTTGGTCTATGGACGATCGCAACTCCCATCAATTACATACCAAAGACTTGGCTTGGTATTGAGATGTGTCGTTTATTATGCCATTACATATTCCAAGGCTATAAAGCTCAGGCATCATAAAGGTGGCCCTATTATGTTAGAGGACGGTCTTCATGGAACAGCAAATGAATTTTTCATGTAAGATTTTGCTATGTGAAAATTAAACCTAGTATTTGATCAATACCTTATCGCCACATTCTTGCTTTGATATTGGTCGTTGTAAGGAGTCCAAAGAAGGTTTACTTTGGCATACAATCGCTGTGCCGCTTACCAAGGGAATTTTCACAAGATAAATATATCTACGTCTATAATGAAAGTAACTTTACTAACATAAACTTAGGCATGACGTTCAATTTTAAACATGAGATCTGGAATAACATCAACATCTGCATCGGCTATAGGTTAGCATAGCATGAGAGACATGCAAGGTGGCAGTGACCCACTTAAACGGTTGCCATCAGCAACGGTGGCCTAAAAAGTATACAAACCACCAAATACAAACCTCACCACCAAATGTCCACCGTACTAGGAGTCCTTCCAATCCCCTTGCTCCCTCTGGCCGCCCAGGTGCAGTATTGTTTAATGATTAGAGAAACTCTCTAGTGCTTTGCATATGAATTTGGTTCGCCTCTCAATCCTCATGCGTTTACCTTACTAAGACTTGTATGTTCTCCCTCCTTGGACTCGGCGACGCTGGTGGTTTTCATAACATCGTGTGTCGATGTAAGCAGAACTAGTTGCATCCGAACAGGCACAATACCATCCCTCGAACTCTGCTGATTCCCCCCATCAAGCCAAATACTGCCATTGACCACCTGCGAGCGTTTGCCAACAACGCGCGCAGTCGATCGATTGACGGCCGTCGTCTCGCGGTCTCTACATAGCGGCGAAGAGCATGACGCACAGGTTAGCCCACAGGGGCGCTATTGACTTGGAGGCTCTATCGCCGAGGGACGCTAATGCCCAGAGGATGCCCAAGGCTCCAGAACTTAAGACCAAGGCAGCCGCCCAGGTTAGAGCTTCCAAGAACAAGGAGCACCCGCCGCCGCCGCCAGCAGAAGTCACCGAGCCGGAGAGCGAAGATCGACCAAATGGCGCCGTTTATCAGGTGGGGAAGCTGTTAGGGAAGGGAGGTTTCGCCATCTGCTACGAGGGCCAGCTCGTGCCCACGAAGCAAAGATATGCGCTCAAGATTGTCAAGAGCCATATGCCTCCCAAGATGGAACAAAAGGTCAGAGGACCGACATCAAATACTGCACTACGACTTGCTGACTGACTATTTAGTTCCAAACCGAACTCCAAATCCATTCAAAAATGAGACACAAAAACATTGTCCAGTTTCTGCGAGCGTTTTCCTACGACAACTGCACCTACCTTATCCTCGAACTCTGCCTCAATGGTTCCTTGATGGATATGGTCAAGCGCCGCAAAGGCCTAACGGAAGCTGAAGTCCGTTTTTACTCCGTTCAGATTACTGGCGCTATCAAGTATATGCATGGGAAGGGAATCATTCACCGAGATCTGAAGATGGGCAACATCTTTCTCGATTCGCAGATGAATGCTAAGATTGGCGATTTCGGTCTTGCCGCATTAGTGGTGACTGGTAGAGACATGCAGACAATTCGAAGGACGACACTGTGTGGCACTCCCAACTATATTGCCCCTGAGATTCTCGAGAAGGGTAAGCAGGGGCATGACCATATGGTGGATATTTGGAGTTTGGGCATCATTGTGTAAGTGAAGCCCGGCCGCGCTTCCCTACGAGTAACTGGCTAACCACCCACCGGAACGATAGCTTTGCCATGCTCACGTCGAAACCACCTTTCCAGTCGTCAACCACGGATGAAATTTACCGCCGAGCTAAGGAGAGAGACTATGAGTGGCCAGATGTCGAGACGACACAAAAATTCATCAGCCACGAGGCTAAGGACCTAGTTGCTACGATGCTGACCGAGGCTGATCAAAGACCTGATCCTGATGTCATTATCCGACACCCTTTCTTTACAGCTGGATACATGCCCGCTGAGACGGAAATGAACATACGCCTCCGTGAGGTCCCCCCCGAGCGAGAAGAGTTCTACCTCCACCGCCTGCCCCGGAATCTGGAGGCACAGTCTATGAAGAACTTTGCGACAATGTGCCAGGAGTGCTGTGTAGGACCTGACTCCCCTGTTCAAGTTGTAAAGGCCCCTGTGTGGAAGGAGATGGCGGCGGAAGAGAAGGCCGGATTGACTCCAGTGATACCCTTGGCAACGGATGTGGTGTATAGGCCCTTTGAAGAATGGCTGAGAGAGCAAAAAGAAGCCAAGCTGAGAATGGCAGCCTCAATGTCTTCGCAGTCAGAGGATCCGAGAGCAACCACCGGATTCTTGCGACAGCCGCCACAAAGTTTCGCTGCCCAGCAAAGAGCCCAAAATAGACCGGCAGCGATGCCAGCTCCATCTCGACCAATTCGGTCTGCTTCCGAAGCTGTGCTGTCGACCTCCCAGAGGGACCGAGCACGTTCTCGCAAAGAACTTCCGACTGAGCAGCCTCGAGGGGAGGTTCAAACACTCAGCATCAGGAGTGCACGCGAAACGGCCCGTCCTGCTCTGCCCATCAGCAAATCTGAGCCAAAGCTGCCTGTTAGCGAGAGGGTAGCTGCTCTGTCCTCAGCAACGCCTACCGAGCACAGGAGGCAAAAGTCAGAGTCAATTCGACCAGCTACCTTGTTCAGCCCAACCGAGCGACCGGAGGTCATTTCTGGAACACAACCGGACATGATTCTTGAAAGATTAAGGAGGCTTCAGATAGAGCTGGAGCGAGCTTTGAATTCCCGAACAATGGCCATTATATCTTCCAAGACGGTTACACCACCCCACCCTCACATTGTGGTGAAGTGGGTAGACTACACAAACAAGTTTGGGTTGGGATATATTCTCAATGATGGAAGCGTAGGCTGCATCCTGCGAGATATCCCCACAACTGAAGGAAACAAGACTGCCATGCTGCCGCCAGCTGGTGTGTTCATCCGAGGAGCCGAGCGCCACATTTTACGCCGACAAGACGACTCGTACGCTGATCGAAATCAACCTGTACCGATGACTGAGTCGATCAAGTTCTTTGAAAATAACGGCGAGGCTGGTCTTGGCGAAGTCCGAATCTCACCTGAACAGTTCCGCGTTTCGGTGAACGAGGATGGAACGGCCGGTAAGATGAATCCCGGCAAGGACATCTACCAGCACCGAAAGAGGGAGCGAATTATTCTCTGGAAGAAATTTGCAAACTACATGATTGCCTACGGAAGGGACGAAGCTGTCCCAACTGAGGAGACTGAAGCCTCAGCCGCCATGTCTCCAGGGCAAAAAGGTACCATGGCGGAGCTGGTGACGTTCTATCAGAGATTCGGAGATGTCGGTTGCTGGGTGTACTGCGATGGCCATCTTCAGGTAAGAAAGAGAAATACCTTATCAACGGATTCAAAGTCTGGTAGAAGCTAACGAGGACATAGTTCAATTTCCCTGACCATACCAAGATTGTATTGGATGCTACTGGCACCTGGTGCCATTTCTGGCATCTTCCCCAGGAGGCGGCAGAGAGTCTCGCTTCGACAGGAACGATAGGCGCTACAGCCCTAGACGATCGGGCTATGCTGTCGTACCCTTTGCAGACATTGCTCAACTTCCAGGCCAAGCCATCGGCAACGAGGTCGACACGAACAGCAACCACTCGACGAAGACCGGAAATTGATCCTGAGCTGCAAGGCATCCCGACTGCAAACGACTTCCGCCGGAAGATTGAGTTTATCAAGAACGTCGTCAAGGAGTGGGTGGCCAACGGCGGTCTCGGCAACAGCTCGATGGATCGCGAAAACCGCCTCCGCTGGACTGGCTATCGCGAAATTGTCCACGCGACCAGCCCCCAGAAGCATGTCTGGGTGACTGTTGGCTCGCGATGGGGCGACCAGCGACTGTCGACTTATGTTGACCCCAAGAAGCCATGGGAGCTCGGGGAGGAGGTCGAGTCCACCTCCAGGAGGTAAAAACCCAGGATTAGAGTTGCTTTCCCTCTGTTTTTTTCTTCATGTTCTGCTTTCGTTAATGAGCCACGACGATGACGACGACGGGACGGGGGAATACCAGTCTCCCGCCTCATAATCACTGACTTGATGTCTCCCGAGCACTGGGGAGTAGCGGATGCCTTATATGCCTCTTTCTATCTCTTTTCTCTTTCTGCGTTGGCACGGCGTATGGCGGATTCATGGTAGCTCGGAAAGGAATTATTTGCGTTTTCTTTCCTTCGAACGTGTAGTTTTTGTCTTACCGTCGATAGATGAGGTCCTTTTTCATATAATTGAGTGATACATCCATGCTGCTGCTTCGAGGAGTGAACCATCTGATTATATGGCGATCATCGGCCCTGTGGCATCCCTCCCGCACTCAGATGAGCCTACAACCAGTCTTCATAAAACATATTGAAGGTATATTAGACGACATCATGATTGGGGAAAGTCCATCTGCTGTTAATATCTGCCTTTGCACTTTTCCATCGACACAATAGAATTATTGGGACCATACTTTTGGTCTCCTGATCTTCAATCTGGGAGGAAGGCCCGGGAAATCTTAATGCTGATCATGTTCCCGTGGGTCTTTTGTGTGGTTAAGTAGTTCTCCGTACTCCGTGATCCTGACACACGTGAATCTCGTAGGACCGAAATGTTCCTCCGTGATTACTCGCTTTGTCGGGGCGGGGGGGGGGGAGAAGCTTCTCATATCGTGTAGTTTTTGGGCCGGCTATCATTTCAACAGCGGACAATTCTTGGACCCAGTTGGCTTCCGCATCATTCAGTCGACCACGAGTGTAGTGATTAAAGCCCGGATAGGAGTATGCTGGGACTACATTGAATCAACTATCGTCTGCGATGTCCCGTGCTTTCTCGCATTCTTGAATGAAGTGCTCGAAAAGGGGCTCAGCTTCTCTGTGACGATCCCAAGCCTCGTAGACCAGAGTAAGCCAATATATTTGGTTGATGTTTGATGCAATGTGCACCGGTCTGTTCATCTTTTGGTCGCTGATCTGAAGGTTCCGTTCGAATATACTCTCAGCGTCGGGATAGCGGCTCTGAAGTCTGTAGATAGGACCGAGATTGAGCATTGCTGGGCCCGGTCCAAACAGTCTGTCTGAAGTTTGAAGGCCTCGTTCCTACATGGGCTGCAGCGTCACCGTAACGGGCAGGCCGTATATTGATACAGTCGGAGTTAAGGACCAAGCAGTGTTCTGAGATATACTCTAAAAGGGACCTTTATCCCCTCTTTAGCAATGTTTCGTTCGCGAGCTTGACAATACTCATCATTGGCTTGAGTTGACCAGAGGCGGCCGAGCTGATCAAGAAACCCAAGCGATGGCCTTGTTTCTACCTCGGGCATTTGCTCAATTGCTTGGGAGGCTCTGCAAATCAGAGCTTCGGCTTCGCCATAGCGCGCTTGTCCCGTACAGAGACAGCCAAGCCTGATTAATCGTAGTATGAGTTTAGTTGCTGTGGGTTTTGTTCACTTACTACCTATCCTTGATATCATCTCGCTGTGAGCTGGGGTACAGCAGATCTAAGCTATAGGATTAAGAGGAATTGCTTGAGCGCTACGGGCTGTCTAGACTTAATCTTGGAAGATCTAGTTGTAATAATGATGGCTCCTTGATAAGTCCTGGGGAAGTATGCGCAGATATCGTATACCTCTGTAAGATGATTTTGTATCTTGAGCTGGCCGTTTGCCAGATCCACGGCTGGCGCCTTCACCCTCACTCATTGTCTGGTCTGGGGTTATCGTAATTGTCGAACACCAGAAGTCAACGATCATTCTTGACCCGATCCTAGCAGCACCTCAGTCGATCTAAGAGACTGCGGACGGCATCTGCCTCGACGGCAAGCAAGTGCGCAGAAGAATGGCAAACTCGAAGTCGAGGCATGTGGAAGTTCAAAACGACGGGAATGAGGGGGAAAAAATATCAAAACTTGATACAATACAAAGGAGTACGAACTATAGCGGGTATGATAATGGAAGTTTACCCAAGGGAGGCGGGAGGAGTGAGCATCAGCTTGGCAGCTCAGTCCAGTACCAAAAGCTACCTTATGAGAAACCGACCTGTCGGCGCCATTGCTCTTCCATCAACACCTCTATCTTATGTTTTGTCGTTCATGGCGAGGGCTCGTTGCTAAATTCCAAACATGGGCATAATAAAGCTACCATCCCGTCCAGAGACCAGGATGGACATTGCCCAGAGTGGGTCTACAGCCATTTTTCAGTACCTTACCCAGATACATGTCTTCGTACTTGATGTGTCTATGAGGCGTGGGCGAAGGCAGCTACAAGATGGACGTGACGCTGAGGCGCCACGCTGACAAGGCGGCGAAAACACCAAAGGCCTGCCTGCTGCAGCCTGGAGAGGCAGCCACGAACGCGTGGAGTGTGTTGATGCTTAATACGGGCGTGTTATGAACTCAAGGGTTCGTACCGGGCCCCATTGAAAGGACCCCTTCGGACGCTAAAGCCACGATCCCATCCCACTAGGTGAAGGGCTTTGGGCAGCCCGCTCGGTCCCCCCTGAGCTAGGACGAATGGTTCGCGGGCTAGAGCCGTGCTAGAGCGAGGAAATCATCTCTTGCCGTTCGGCACGGCTCTCAGACAACTTAGGCTCGTCCCTTGGTGGTGAGTGCTGCCCTTCCCGGACCCTGGATCCTGGATGGCCACCGTTCGCTGCTATTGACAGGCGCAGGTGCACGATATTGTAGACGAGCAGGATCCGATGGCCATCACATCATTCATGAAGAGCAGCTTCTCCTAGTACTTAGGACATGCAGGATTCACAGTGTTGTGCAGACGCGCGTACTGTAATCAATCTTGGATTTATTCCTCTCTTGCAAATTGCTTGCCGAAATGACCCTTCTCCCGCTAAAATAAGACCCTTTCCCCGGGACTTGGCCGAATTTCCCAGACCAAGCCCAAATGAATAAACCGCACAATAATCGCCTGAGAAACAATGAGGGACCCATTCGTTGCCGTGAGCACAGACGTGGCCATCTTGCCCGAAAAATAAACAAACAACACCAATTTCCTTTTTTTCCCCATGCCCTCTCGCGTTTGCACCAAGAGGGTGCTTTATCCTGTCCGGATGAAGTTGTATGTACCGACGAAATGACAAGTTAGAAAATCAAATAAAACACCAGCGCCAGAAACCGTATGCATCAAACTCTTGCAGAGATGGGGGGTGAATATGACAGGACTCGTAAGCCACAATTGAATAAAAATCAGTACAAGTGAAATACTCGCTGCCCATCGAGATGGAAGCAGAACAAGTCGGGAAGAAGTGAAGGGAAAATATGCGAGGAGAAGAAGAAGTGATAAAGAAAAAGAGTGTAGAGAGAAGAAGAAGAATGTGTCCATTGACACGGCTTTCGGCGAGTGAGATCACCAGGTGCCATGGGTCTTTTTGGCCCGGCCCTTGACCTCGACTTCGCCCTTGTCTATTAGACTCTTGAAACGAAGACTGGTGCTGTGGTGGTCCCGGCCGAGAATCTGCCCGACCTCCTGCCACTCACGCTTCGACAGTTTGTTCTTGCACATGGGAAGAACAACCTCGAAGAGAATGCGAGTGTCTTCGGCGCTCCACAACTGCCCGTCTGTCTCAACCTCCAAGTCAGTGCCTGGCTTCTGCTGATCCACACTCCGGTTGGGATCCCGAATGTAGGCTTCGTGGAAGTCGGCCCGCTCGAGGCCGAGAGGCAGTTGTTCGGGGGCAATGCGCGCGCGTTTGGGCGTCGCCGGAGCAGAGAGTTCTTTTGGTGCGAGAGTGGGTGTAGTTGGGGAGGATTCGAGATCAAGCTCCAAATCGCTGGTTTCGCTATCTAGGACATCGCTGTCGTCGCGGCTCATGTGATCTTGGGTTTGAGGGCAGCGGCGTCGCTTTTGTAGTCTTCGAGAGGCTGTTCCGCGCTTCGCGATTCTCCTTGGTGTTGCGGGCGCGCTGTTGGTCTTATCAACGTTTGCGGGGCGACGTAGACGAAGCTTGAGAGGCAGATTTGCGTGTGGGAGGGGAGGTGTAGGGAGCTGATCCCAGGTGTGCGGTAGTTGGTCTGAAGCGGTGCCGGTAGGTGCTGTCATCAACGACTGGAGGGATAGGCAGCTATTCAGAACGTTGCCAGCGAAGCTGTCTGATGATGATCGGGTAGGAGGGCTGGCAGGAGGCGAAGCTAGGAGCGACGGCTGGAGTAGGAGGGGACGGGGAGGCTGCGAGGACCCGAAGGACAGAGCAGGATGGAGGCTCATTTTGAATAATCGGTCGTGAGAAAATTTGGACCGGGAGAGTGGTTGTGAAGGTATAGGCTCGGACGGGGGAAGTGTGTTCGGCGACAATAGCGCAAGGTCGCTGGCTATTGTCGCTGGGCGCGCGGTCAGTTTGCGACACTGAGCGTTGCCTGGTGGTTTGCGCGCGCGAAACGGGTCGGGGCGTGCGACTGGGCGAATTTGAGCGTAGCAGGAGATCTGAGTGTTCGGAGTGCAGAGCTAGACGAGCAATCTGTATATAGAAGCGCGATAGACGGTATGCGATCGGAGATTGAATGCACGATGGGCGGGCGAAGTAGTTGTAGAAGAGAGAATGCGGGTGGTGATGGGGCGGAATGGCGAGAAGGCTGTGAAATCGGGGGTGGTGGGCACCCATTAAAGAGCGCGGCCTGGGTTTGGGTTTTTTTGGGTTGGGGGGATGGCCAGGCGGGTTGTGTCGCACTGCATGGCAGCCAGGCCAGGGCCAGTATCCAGCGGGCCAGCGACTGAGAGACAGACCGACGGGTGCGTTGCAGGAACCTGTAGGTAGGGCTCTCCAGTGGGTCGCCATTGTGAGACGGTGGGGCGGGTGACCTGGGCAGCCCTTGGGCAGGGGTGGCTGGATCCGTTTTCAGCATCCACAGTCTGCAGCGCTACTGTAGGCACTTACAGTAGGCGGCCCACTGCCTTCTGCCACGGCGGTGACAGAGTGGTCTACGGTGCGGCGCCGCGGGCAGAGCACTGTACATACCTGCCGAACAGGCCTGCGGATGGCCCCACGACGTCGCCTCGCCCTTTGAACCCTTCGAAAGGTACCTCTCCGACTCGCCGACTCCACCAGCTGCAGCCATCACTTGCATCCTGCGCACTGGAGCTCTGTACATCCCGCACTGTGTCTGGCAGGCGCGCTTCTCTCCTCCCTCCCCAACACTCTGGGATACAAAGTACCTGCCTCCAGCTTGGCTTTGGAAGTGGCCGCAGCAATGGAGTCGTTGCTCCCGTCCGAGACAGACCGTCTTCATTGTCTGGATTGTTCTCCTCTTTGGAGAGAACCCCAAATCTGGCTGCGAACGTGACTGTAGACGAAAGACAGGTCAACCCTCGGTTCCAGACCTACCTGTTTCATCCCACATCCATCTCTCCATTCTATTCTGCCAGGGCAGCCAAACTTCATCCGTCTGCTCTGCTCGGCGGTGCTCTGCTCTTCTTTGGTCTAGTATCCTGAGCTTCTTCCTCTTGGCTCCCGTCTTAGTGTTTTGACTTATGACTTATCCGCTTTCCCTTCCCTTCCCATTCCCACACCCCCTCCCCCCTTCCAAAACCATATCGTATCTTTCTTTCGTATCACCGACCTTACGCAATGGCCCCAAGCCTTGTGTGTACAAGTGGTAATTATACGTACTAGTCCTGGCTTCTTTCCAACGAGGCTGCTGAGCCTGGCCCCGTCTCTTGTGATCAGTCCCCAGCTCGATACTGAAAGATCACAATGTGCCCACACTCTTTCGTGCCACGGGCCACAAGCACAGACTTCTCCCAGTCACTTAAGGCGGCCTCGAGCCCTAGCGCTGGGTCTTGCCCGTTGTCATTAGACCCGAAGAGGAACCAACCCATGATCCTCCTGAGGGCCGGCGCGACCCCCAAACTTCGAAGGTGTCATTGTCATTAGGAGCCTGCTAGCTCCCATTCACTTGACTCGCTCGCTCACCGACCACAGCTCCATCCACGTTCCCTGCAGCGATCACCGTGTTCAACGGAGATTTTTGATAGGTGAGCTGAGGTGAGAGGGGAGGACCTGCAGATTGGTGTTGCAGACAGCCATCCACCTAATTGATACCACGTCCACCCTAGTCCAGCTGCTTCCTCTCTCTCTCTCTCTTCTCTCCCTGTGTGTGTGTGTGCCTGTGCCTGTGTGAATGGTGCGTGTGTGCCCGACTGCCTCTTACTGGCTGGTCGCACACACCACTGTTCCAATGGGCTTTCTCACCTCATCACGATAGTACTGCTCTACGTATACCTGTGCTCGCTCGAGGCTAGCCACTCGCTCTCAATATGAATCCATTGTCCCAACCAGAAGCGAGCAATGCGGGTTGACAAGGTGCCATGAGGCCCAATGCCAACTCGCGAGGTGAATCTGTGCTTGACAGGCACACACACTGTCCAGGATCTCTTGCATTATTCACTCACACCCCTCTCGGCTGCATCCATCACCCACGAGGGCAAACCGACTCTAGATCCAAAGCGGTCCAAACATGGTGGATGACATGACGTTGAACAATCCCTTCCTTTGAGAGCTTTCTTCCCTTTGACTTTCAGCGCACTCTCCCTGGGCAGCACGCATAGGACCAATTTTCCACTCATCTCTATGGCAACTGCCCTGAAATAATTCACTCGGCCGCTCGTGGGGGTTGCGCTCGGTAGATTCGGTCTCACCCGTTGTCCCCTCCCTTGTTACCAAATGCTGCGCATGACCCATTATCGTCTTCGGGGTTCCCAAGGAGGTGAGGGGCGAGGGATTTCTCCAGGGTCATGAACACAGATGAGGGGCTATCGTCATGTCTCTTGTTTGATAAGTGGTAAGAGCGGGTAAGTTGAAATGGGCCTCTTCTATCTATTCGGTTTTGGTAGCATCCCCATCAAGGCGCATGTCTAGCCGACACACCTGTCTGGATGCCCTTTGCTGGGTCGCAACATCGCATCGCCTCGAGCAGAGATGCGCCCATGTACCGGCGACCCAGTACGTACCTCTAGCTGCAGCGCGCACAAAAGAGTCGGCAGACTCCAGGCTCGCATTGCATCGCATGAAGCACAGTTCACCACACAGGACATTGCATCTTTCCGAAGCTGCATGCATGTTACGACGCACTACTGCGCATATCGCCGCATCAGGCGATAGTCCAAGGGCAATGCCTCCCGTCGGAAGTGAGCTCGCCCTCGCAATCTCACCTGGGGAGTTTCTGACGGCATCCTCAGCTTTTGGGGGCCTCTTGGGGGGGGGGGGGCACAGTGCCTGCGCAGTCGACGAGGATAACCTGTACCTCGCGAGCATGTGGTCAATTTACGCGTCTCGACGCGACGCGCACGCGTAAATTAGTTACATTAGCGTCGAAGATGGAGGGGTACCGGCCAATCAGCGCGCGTGAAAATTGTCAATGCGCCGAGGGCTTGCCCCACCCCAACTTACCTAACCTGTAGGCCCATTTCTGCCAAGGAAGCGTCGCCAGGCAACGAACCAGATCGAGGCCTCTCCCTCCCTCTCTGCTGCTAATCTAATTAACCGCCCTCGACATCGAGATCATTTTGTCTCTTCAAGTTTCAGCTGCAAAGAGCACATGGCACCCTTGGCCTTTCTGACATCACATCCTGCCAAAAGCCTGATGTCACGGTATCTATCTTCAGCACTTGGAGAAACTCGATGCCCGTCCATATGCTTCTACCTAAACCTGGTGCCTGTCCCCACTAACGACGTATGTAGATGCATATTCGTACACGCATCAATGCAGCGTCCAACTAACCCAGTCGATTACGTTGCCCGTGAAGTCAAGTGGACTCATTTCCATATACACACGTATTGACTCAATCGCCACAAACGTATTTAATTAATCAATCAGTATCGCCGTCCCAGATCGGTCCTCCGCTCCTCTCGGCCGGCAAGAATCATCTTGGATCCCTGGGCACATATCCACCAGTTCTCTGGCCTCCCTTCCTGCGTGCCGCCCACATCCCTCAAGTGTCTGGCTGTAGAGCTACCTTCCCGCGGCCCAATCTGGCCGGCTTCGGAAAGGACCCGGGATGAGCCAAAATGTTCCACCGACCGGTAGCGTCCTGTCTGTGGCGGCCACGTTGTAGATGACTCGAACCCGCACGCCCTCTCTCCCCTTCACTTGGCTCCCTCTTAATACAATGAACGAACCGCCCCATTGTTCATCTAAACTGCCTAGATGAGCACAGGCTCGATAAGTACTCAGTCCCGCCCTGAATCCCCAAAAGTGGAGAAAGACGGAATTCCAATATTCCCATCCTCTCATCTCGGTAGCACTCACGATCCTCGGATTTCCCGTCCCAGAATCTTCTCCCTCTTGCTCTGCTTTCGGCTTCTTCCATTCAACTTGGATGGGGCAGATCTACCCGAAAGCTGATGAGTTCCCCACCCGTTTCCTGGCTGCCGGATCCCTTGTCAGGGCACTGTTTCCCAAAACACCCCCAGCTGAGCTGTATCAAGATGGAACAACTGTCGTTGACTTTCTCCCCCGTCCTCTTTTTGCAGGGCACGGCAGACTCCGAGGTATCCCTCGATCTCGGGAGAGGGCGTCCCAGCAAGAGAGCCGGAGAAAAGCTTCCATCGTCTCATTTTACCCAGCTAACCCCCGTGCTCTCTCTTCTCGTATACACATTGCGTCCTCGCCCCCGAGACCCAACTCAAGGCAGAAACTCTTTTGTTAAGGTTTGCTCCGGTGGCGCTTTGAAACCACCCAACACCGACGGCGGGCCTCGTATCTCTAGTCGGTGCAATAATCTCGTAACAGCTACCAAGCTTTCTGACTGTGCCGAACCAAAGTACCTGTTTCAAACACTACAAGTCAAGGGATAATGACCATCAGATCAAGGTACACGCAACTCAGATCACAAGAGTACCCCTATTCACGCAATCAAGCTCAAAGTTTCCATGCCCCGTCTCCAAGGAGACGGATATAATATTCATCTATTCGGGGGCCCTTTCCAACTATGAACAGCCCAAGCCAGGAGAACCTCGGGAAAACTAGTCCCGTTTCTCCTTTTTCCTTTCTCTTCCATGCGAATGAACAAAACTTCAACGCAGTGGGTAATTGGACACTTCCAATTCATCTTTTCAATCTTCTTCCCACAAAAGTAATTAAGAAACATGCCGCGTTTCCCCCGTATCACACGCCCTTCCTTTCCCCGTAAAAAAAACCCAAACTGTAGATAAGAAAGCAAGCGGATAAGAGAAAAAAGTCAAAATTATAGTGTTCGACCCTGGAAGCGGGTGGTACCGGAATATTAATGGAGAGAAGACCAGAGTGGTGTCTCCAGGCTTCCCTTTATATTAGAGAAGAACCAAATGATAGACAGGGATGTTGCGGATACCAGGTCTGCTTGCGTAGAGTCATGTTGTTTCTTTTTTTTCTTCATACTCCCAGGATGTTCTAAACAGCATAAAACAAGAGGGGGGAATAACGGTCCGACAGGAAATCGTATCAAAGGAAAACCATGGAAATGTTGCTGATCCAAAAAACCAAAGCGCTAATAGCAGCGAGCGTGTATAAAATCGTGGTACTCAAACGAACGACGAGAAAAGGCCTTCCCAGACAAGGACGAATGCATCTCGTGAGAGGTGGTGTAAATGCCAAGCAAAGAAAATCATGTAAACAGCAGCCAAGTACGTCCTCTCTCATTAACATGGCACTCAGTCGAGATCGCGCAAGCCCAAGAAAAAAGATGCTCTGAAATGATGTGTGAAAGCTATGCGGGATGAACGACGATAAGCGAGCGTGTGCAAATAGTGCGATATTATGAAAAGCGACAAAAGTCATGAACTTCTCTATCCAAAAGCAAGAATAACGACAACCGCAACAAGGAGTTCCGTTAAGGTAATCTGGGTATCCCATCCAAGAAGTTTCTTTCTTAATCTTCTTTCTCGCTTTGAAAACAAATGGAATCGACAGTGTTGTGCTGTAATTGTTGTATGTAGATGCCAGCTGCATTAGTCTGTCGATGTAAAACTTGAGGAATATGGACTGAACGCTTTCACATAACGATGCAATCTTTGTCGTCCTTGGAAGACTTGAGGGCCTTGCCAGACCGAGGTGCCGCAACGTCCATGGGAGTTCCCTGGCCGCTTACTGCCGCTTGGATGATGGCCAGTCGCTGCTTTGCTCGTTCGTCCCCGGCATCTGCCGCTTGGACGTACCACACGTTGGCTTCCAAGATGTCCCGGTGGCAGCCGATGCCCATCTCTGTGAAGTAGCCAACAGCATATTGTGCTTTCACGAACCCTATTGCAAAGTTAGACTGTTAGTCAAATCCCACCAGAAAAAAAAGATAAAAATGGACAAGACGTACCCAGCTCCGCAGACCGATGAGCCCACTCATATGCCTCTTCCTCGTCCTTCTCAAGCACCGGCGGTGCGCCAACCATGTACCATGCACAGAGACCCATCATTGCACCAGCATGGCCACGTTCAGCCGCACCAGTATAGAAGTGGACGCTCAGTGAGGGGTCGCGGGGGCAATCAAGCAAGCCGTGCTCATATGCATCGCCCATCCGAAAGCTGGCCTCTGGGTGGCCGAGATCAGCGGCTTGTGTGAAAAGCTGGGCCGCATAATGCTCGTCCTTGAAGATGTCGTCGCCATAGCCAGTCTCGTAGAGACAGCCGAGGTGGTAGGGGGCAGCATTGTACTGGGCATCAGCTGCCTCGGCGGCAAGCTTCAACCATTTTATACCTTCCCGATACCTCTTCTCTCCCAGATCACCCGAAAGGCAAGCCTTTCCAAGTCGAGTCATGGCACCCGGGTGTCGTTTTGAGGCAGCCGATCGAAGGAACTGTACAGCCTTGGCTGGATCTTTGCGGCACCCCCACCCAAACTCATAACAGAGAGCAGTTCGGAAGGCCGACTCAGCGTGGCCGTGTTTGGCAGCGAGAACAAACAGCGGAAAGGCGGAGCTGTAATCCTCTTTGCCCTTATTGAACAGGCCCGAAGCAAAGCCGTCAGCCAGGTAGTACTGTGCGAATGGGTATCCACCATTTGCCAGTTTCTGAAGAAGCTGGCGCGCCTCTCGCACCAGGGCATGGCCATCCTGTCCAGCGAGGTCCGGATCAGGGCTATCCGTCTCCTTTCGTTGCTTCGAGGCATTTTTCCTCCTCTTAGGATCTGAGAAATCCAAGCCCAGCTCCTGTGCGGTTGAGATGAGAAAGACAGCAAATGAATACTGAATTGAGACATCGTTGGTCTTTTTCACGTTCTGTCGGTACATCTCGAGGGTTTTCTGTGTGCTCAACAGAGACGCATTGTTGCCAATGACGGTGCGCAAGTTGGAATTATCAAGGGCAAGAGGCGCCGGCGCTTGCTGGGGGTAGGGGACGTTCAGAAGCTCGGCGTACGACTGTGGACGCATGTCAGGAGAGTTCCTCGACTGCAGGCCCGGTGACCGACCCCTAGGAGCCATATCCGAAGCCAGTGAGTAGGAGGACTGAGGTCGGGGTATCGAGCTCCGTCTAAAGAATTGCGAGTTGTTAGGTGTGAGATGGCGCTTCGCCTGCGCAGAACCATCCGAGAGATCTGGAGTCGAGGCATTCCGAACATCTTGGTATGAAGCGCTATGTCCATGCATAACCTGCTGCTCTTGCTCCTGGTGGTGATACTGAAACTGAGGGACAGACTGGTTACGAGGAAAATCACCCTCGATGACAGAGCTGCCTGGCGACTCCTCAGGCAGCTGGCTGTCGGGGTTCTCATTGTTGCCCAGGATCGAGCTCGCACTCGTCGTTGCAGATGATTCGGTAGACGTGGGTTGTTGCGAAGAGCTGGCAGTATCATCTGATCCACGACTGTTCCGGTACATTTCCTGCCTCTTCACACGCTCGTGGGGATTCATAGCGGACGGTGTGGGGTTGTACTCTGGGTGGTCGTAGGCATCAGGCGAGGTCGAGGATGGATTCCGGGAGTCCAGTGCAGCGCTGCTGCGTCCAGCATCCGGGCTGGCTGGGCCCTGGTTGTTCTCCTGGTGGTCTGCACGAGGAGTCTCGACCACGGTGGTGAGAGACGGTTGACTGGAGGTGCCGGGTGAGGTTGGTGAATTTGGCGAGGGCGCCAGGGCCCGACTTCGGTCGGTAAGCACGAATTGGGGGGAAACCGGTCCTGTTTGCTCGGGGCTGGTGGGATAAGTTGGGTTCGCCCAACTGTCATGGCTGAAGTTTACATCGGCTGGGGAGGCATGGCTTGGCGCGGCGTGCAATGGGGCCATGTGGGCAGCGACAGGTTTCCGCAAGATCTCTCGATCGCCCGTGGATGTTCTCTGCAGCCTCGGGGGGCTCGTCGGTTCTGGAGGGCTCGTAGGCGCAGGATATGCCGGAGGCGGTGGCGGCGAGGTGGTGACTGCGGCCATGCTTCTGGTGGCCTGGTCAGGGACGCCGGTCGTCCCCGTCGCCGATACAGTCGCAAGAGTCTAGCAGGTGGGTTTC